GGTCAATAGACTCCTGCAGCAACACCTCGGCCGGTCACATAACAAAACGCATGTCACTGAATCCAACAAAACAACTTAATAATGTATCCCAAAGTCCTTTAGGGAACAGGCACAAAGTAATTTACCACAATTGCTACTTGGACTAACAGGTTAAAAAGTAGCAGCAAATGGTACTGAAAGCAGGGAACATCTCGAGAGGAGTCAGTGTCTGGTATGGGCCTCTGAGCAAAAATGAGATCCCAAGGAACTCCTCCTACCCCCCTGTGACCAGTCCGCTACCTCCCCCTGCGTCCCTCACTGCCCTACACCCTACAGCAGTGACTAGCTCCTCCTTGGTCTCTCACTGTTAAATTAACCTTTTACTTCATTATTATTAGATTTGTTTTACCTATAACTGAAAGGTTTATCCTCTGTTCTGTTTGTTATTCATGGTCAGAGGATCCCTATCTGTTGCCCGGACGCGGTTCATAACGAGGATCTTTTTATCAGAATTTCTTTGATCGGTTTCGAAGTTGCAGTTTACGGCATCACCCATTGAGATTTCTTTTACACCCAGAGCGTAGAAATTAAAGGAGGGGTTGATGCATATTAAGGATTATTAAGTTCTTCGTTTAACAGTGAACATTATCAGAGGAATCCATACCAATGTTGAAATGTTGAAAGTTAACCGAAAGTCACCCAATGAAACTTGATTTTCAACACCATCTTCTACTCCTTGTTAACTCTACAACAATTCATTTTAAATACTGTTTCTATCTAAAATACGGTTAATACTTTCATAATATCACTACCACATGAGAATAACTATACAATTACTTTCAACCACTAAAACTATGCCTGCACTGTCCTTTCTAATGATACTTTCACCGTATAAAGACTTTCCAAGGGTCATTCATATTTTCTCCATCATACTGTCATCCCATAGAAAAAAATCACTATCTTACACCTACATCTATGTTTGTACTCAGGATACGATTACAACATGAAAATTATTGTACCTATTGATTCCTCTGCTGATATCTGTTCTTGTACTCGTGTTCCTGTATAAACTCTGTACTTGTGCCTGTATTGTGTTTGTATTTGTAATTACTCGTATCTACATCTGTACTTGTATCTGTAACCTTAATCCTTGGCTTAAGTGAATAAAACATAATAGTAATCCTGGTACAGTAATATGGACATACGAACTGTTGGCGTAACCCGGTACCTCGCATGCTGCCGGCGTGAGTGTAAAAATGTCGTACTGCACCGAGTAAGAGGCGGCATCGTCACTGAGCTTACTACAACTTACCTAAGCTGCTCTGACAATAATATTTTGAGCCATAAATCACTTAGAGAACATGAAATCAGCTGTTATTCTCACTAGATTACAGTTCCTAAATTACAAAATATTTAGCTGTCATGGCCCCTCGTTCCACTGTACCTGAATCCATAACTAATTACCTGTGACTTAACTTACCTGTACAGTGACTTGAGGTCGATGGTTTATTGTCAACTTTTTATGGTGGTAAAGGGAGAGAGAGTTTGTGTGTGTGTGTTTACGTTTTCGTCCGATTTAGCTACCGGTAATATAATCAATCCCATGTGGAGTAACAAGGAATGTGACAAAGCACTTTATGGGGTTTTCGATTTTTCTTATATTAACAAAGAAAACGTATTCTAATTCTCTGGTCTGGGTAACTCATGTAATCCCCCGCTACCCTGGTCAGCTTCAGGTGGTGAAACATGGCTGCTGTGCCTAAGGACAGTCAACATTCCAGGTGGTAACGGGAGGAGGTGCCGTAGGTACAGAGTGGAGCGAAGGGCAGCAGTTAGGATCCCATTACTTGATCACCCTTAGGATATTAGCCTCACTTGCCTAGGTCATCGGCAGGAGGGTAAAGAAGGTATAATTATTCCTCTCTCTCTGACAAAAGTGAATTGTCAGTTGAGTAGTTGTCATGTATATAAACAACTAATGTAACTACTAGACATAATTCCCAAACGCTTACATTAATTATATACATCAAACTATAACCCAGATCTAATATGGAACTTGAATATAACAAAAAATACAGCAAAAATTCCATAACTTTTTCTAATTCTCTATATCATTAAATTACAGGATAAACATTGGTAAATATCACTGTGGTGGAAATAACAGGTGCTCGTGTTAACCAGAATACACATCTCTCTAAAAAATAAAACTAGTTACTCCCAGTCACTCACTAACTAGACCAGTACGACGACACCCTTCCATAAAAACAAGTTTCATATACAGTAAATATTGCTCTCGGACGATCAAGAAACTATATCGAATGTCGTCAATGTATTTTTGTCCTAACACGAGGAAAGATTTGTGACCCAACCATCTGACATTAAAAAACAATTCTTTTACTACTACTACTACTACTGCCTACTACTACTACTACTATTACTACTACTACTCACAGTCATCATCACTACACGGGAGTCGACCCGAGAGGACGTGCCGACCCAGAGGGGAGGTAACGGGGGCACAGGCTGGGAGATAATGTGACCATATGTTGAGCTGGAGACGACGAGGGTAGTGCAGACATTAGGAAAATGAGAGAAGGAGGAGGAAAAGGAACCTGAAGGAGGCGTAGGAGGAGGAGGAAGGGAAGGGTCCGGAGTGTAGGAGTTGAGGAAGGAGGATAGGAGTGTAGGAGGAAGGGTAGGTTGGGATAAGGGGCTTGGAGAAGGAGGAATGGGTTTAAGGAATGTTGAGGATGGAGAAGCAAAGAATGTGGAGGAGAAGGAGCAAGTGTTGGAGGAGGGCAGAGGGAGGTTGGGTGCGTAAGGCCACGGGACAAGGACATAGAAAATTAAATCTTACAGACGAGAGACAAAATGGATTATCAGGGGTAACTGTACAATCTTCTTCCCTGTGGTCCACCAATTATAGGTCAAAACTAGTTTCTAACATCGGTCACGGTTGTTATTATATGTCAGCTTAAACTGGTATGAAAGTATTGCAGAAAACATAAACCCAAGTAGAAGTTTATAAGGAGAAATCAAGCAAACTAGATTCATAAGTAGGTATATAAACACAAGAACAGGTACAATTATTCAGAACTTACACACACACACACACACACACACACACGCGCGCACACACACACACACACACATACACGCACACACACACACACACACACACAGGCTCAACCTTACCACACCACAGTCTGGCTCAGCAGCACCTCAAGGCCATAGAAGAGGAGTTGGTCAAGTAACTGAGTAAGGTCCTCTGGGCGGGCGGCCGTGTGTGTGTGTGCGCTGACCCGAGTCCAATGTAAAAAGGACTTGACCTTAGCATATGATCAGGCCTGGAATCCATGGTGGTAATAACAATAGGATCGAGTTCTTTGATAGATAGTATGTCACCCTCTAGTAATATCATCTGAATTCTATTTCCACTAGATAAATAGACTTAATTACAGGATGATTCTATTCCCACAAAGGTTCATCTGTTATTTTAAGATAAGGTCTCACCCCCCCAAGGATACCTGCTGGGTAGGATTAGATTCTCTCTGCTGTAGGATGTATTGTGGGTCATAGGATTTAGGTTACGTTTACATATTTCCTTATTTATTAACTGTGGTTCATAGAGGTCAGGATATATAGCTTTATTTATAGTATTATTGTGTGTGTGTGTGTGTGTGTGTGTGTGTGTGTGTGTGTGTGTGTGTAGGTCTGCATTACTGTCAACGCGATTACTGGGAACGTTATATTTATCAGCACACACACACACACACACACACACACACACACATACACATCCCCACTGTCCATATACACATGAAAAAACACTCACACAAACAAACACATAAACCCATTTCTAAGCCTCAGCCAAAAACACCTCCCCAACCCCCTACCCTCCCCCCACGCCCCTCTTTCCCCCCACCACCCCCCACCACCCCCCCTCAACATACATGACGTGGGATCGAACCTGTGCCCTCTTGAATCCAACTTTACACAACATCTGGCGCCCTCTGTGTGTGTGTCCAGCATGAACTAACTCTAGCTATGTCAACACCAGGTTCAGTACCAGCCAAACAAAGGAACCTAACGGGGCATATGGTAGTTGTAATCTGGTCAGTGTATGTGGAGTATGATTGGTAAGCTAACCGTAATCACCTGAAGTTTAGATATACCTTAATGGTCCCAGGTTAGGTTAGGTTAGTTTAGGTTAGGTTAGGTTAAGAAACTTAGTTGTAGGAAGGGTAATAATAATAATAACAATAATAACAATAATGATGATAATGATGATGATGATGATGATAATGATGATGATGATGATGATGATGATGATGATGATGATGATGATGATGATGATGATAATAGCATAAAGGACACTGACAAGAGAAGGAAAAACAACAACACACCTGAACGTATTTACCTGAACAATTATTGTTTTATATTAATTGATGAAATATTTACCAATGTTAATCTAAATAATTGCCCTTATCAACCTGGTAACTCATTGGCTTCATAACTTATTGTTCCGTTATCAAGAAGAAGAAGAAGAAGAAGAATGAGGAGTGGAGAGAAGGAAGAGGAAGAAGGAGGAGGAAAAGAAGATGAAGATGGAGGAGGAAGAGAAAAAAAGAAGAAGGGGAAGAAGTAAAGAAGAAGAAGAAGGAGGAGGAGAAGTGTGAAAAAGAATAACAAGAATAAATACAAGAACAAGAACACGAACAAGTCAATAAATCTGATCCTATTTACCTCTTCCCTACGGTGTCATTACAAGGGGTTACGACCTATGCCAATAATATCAGATCTTCCTAGAATATATATTGTGTACACGTATCCCCTTCACTGTTGTTGGTACCTCTGATCAACCTCAGTCACCAGTGTCTTCTCAGTGCAAGGCAGAGAGAGAGAGAGAGAGAGAGAGAGAGAGAGAGAGAGAGAGAGAGAGAGGCGGAAGTAGAGTCAATTAAACTTCCAAATCTCAGAAAACACCGAAAATATTGACTTACAAATATTGATAAAGTTTACTCAACACCTGGTGGGTAGGGTGTCAGGTAGATGAACCACCTTGTATACCTGTGGCAAGTTAACTGTTTACCTCTCCACACCTGTAAGGGAGGGAGGGAGGGATGGAGGGGGGTTAGAAGAGGGGAGAGGGAGACAAGAAAAGATAAGGAGGAAGGAGGGAGAGAGAGATGTTAAAGGCGGTTAGAAGGATGAGGTGAGGGAAGGGAGGGTAGTTAGAGGAGGGAGGAGGAGAGAAAGAAAGAGCACCTCAGCCACATGGGGGGGAGGGGGAGAAGAGGAAAGGAGAGAAGAGAAGGAGGGAGGCAGAGAGAAAGGGAATAAAGTAGAGAGGGAGATAAATAGGGTAGGTAGAATAGATGAAGGGAAAGAGGGAGAGGTAGTAAGATTCAGAAAGACACAGAGAATCAAAGAGAAAGGGAGACAGGGAGAGAGAAGGTTGGAGAAAGGGAGTCAAGCGAGTAGAGAAGAGGAGAAAATGGATTAGAGTGTTTAAGGGAGAAAGAAAACAAGTCAGGCGGGGAGATCGGGAGAGAACGAGAGAGGGAGGGACGGAGGTGAAGCAGGTTCGTAGACCACTGTACATCCAGTCATCAGCGCCTAAGACACCCAGCAGGAGCAGCTCGTACAACCCTTGTCTAGTCTTCTGTCCATTTCACCAAGATAAAATTTGAGTGATTTTTTTTTTTTGTATTTTTTTGCAACTGGATGATATTATCCCATTGCACGTTGCTAGGTGACGTCAATGTGACAATAGAGGAAGATCCACACATCAATATCCTGACATCAACGTGAAAACAGAGAAAGATCCACTCATCAATATCCTGACATCAGTGCTGGTGTAGGAAGAAATCCAAATCCACAACTGATGAATTGTGCTTTGGTGCCTTCAACTTAACCATAGAAAGGCATTAATACGACCACAACCAGATCATCACAGTCAACCAAGTACGATGGGGATGATGTCAACGCGAGAATAGAGAGAGAGAGAATTCAACGCCTTCTGCCCAGTTAGATATACAGTACGTGTCCAACAGAGTGAAGATCGGAGTTACTGTACATCCACTGTACTAGATCATTGCCCGCTGTTGGTGACTTCAACGCCATCCAAGATAAAAATCCACTCCCTCCTTCCCCCTTCGCTCCCCAGTCATTGAGTTGACGTGTAGTTGACGTGTGGTTGTGAAGAATGACGCCTGTGTTAAGAATGAGACACAATGAACCAACGGGTGTGAAGAAGACACTGAGTTACCTGACTTTTGTTAATGGTAAGTGAATCAGTTTGTGTGTTAGTGAGGAAAGTGATTGGACAGTAGGTAAAAAAAAAATAATGATTAAAAACCAGTCATTTTTCTTACTAGCAGTTTGACATGTCGATTTGTGTATCAATCATTATAATAATAGAGTAATTAAAGATAAAATAGTATTCAAAGTTACTTATTAATTAGATATTTGTATGTGTTTATGCTTGGCAAAAGATAGTTAAATAGTGGCAATGATTCGGGCTTTGGACTTTGTTGCTAGAGTTATATTAATGTTTATATGGATATTTATAAACTGTTTTACTCAGTTTAGCCACAACATGTATATTTAGTAAACATATGTTATAATTAATTCTGAACAGTATTATCTCTACGGATTTGACCTTTCCTTTAGTAAATCATGTAAATTATCTCTCTCTTTCTCCCTCTCTTAGTTTTTCTTTAATAACACATAATCAATATTACTTGCTATTGACCGTTACTGTCCTCTTGCCTGCAGGGTGTGTGCTGCTGCTGCTTGTTTGTCTTACACCAGCGGCGGGGGACGCTCCTACACCCGTCGGAGACTCTTCAGCCCCACCAGGTCCTCAATGTCTTCACGACGACCCTCGCTGTCCATCCTCCTCCTCTTCTATCAACGACTCCATAAGGAACCCTGACAAGGACGCCGAGGAAGGACCTTCTCACACGGAAACCGACTCACCTCAAGATGGAGACGAGCCCGAGTTGATGAATTTTATAAATGTTGATAAAAGAACAATGGAATACGAACACGAGGAGATACAGGATTCACCTGACGAAGTAGAACGAGTACTCAGTTGCATCTTCACTTCTGTACCGTTCATTGGAGGCAAATGGTTGGAGAAAATAGTTCGTAATAGCTACTCGGACGCGACGTTACTGGAGGCCAGCCATAGATTCCTTGATGGAGGAGAATTCCTGTCAAAATTTATCAGCCTTGGGACAAGTTCACCGGCAGGAAAGATGCTTGAAATTGTCAGCAGTTGTTTCGAAGATGATGAAATGGTTGACTACAAAGGAGAATATCTCTCAGGATACTACCAAGATGAAGATGAGCCCCAAAATCCATACCAAAATCCCATTCCGGTCCCAGACAGAAACAGCAGACCAGAAAGAACTCAATACGACCTCCCTGGTGCCCCAACATCGTCCCCCCTGCAACACACTCGAAGAAAACGGAGACTTGCTAGAACTTTTGGGGCAGACTCGCTTTTAGGGTTTAACTTGTTGGGTACGCTAGTGGTCTGCTCCCTGGTGGTATACCTCGTCTATCTGTTGGTTTAAATCTGTCATTCTGTTTTTGTAGAGTATGTATGGCAACTAATTGATGTTTATTGACTTTATTAAAATCATACACTTATCCATACATTAATTTATTTAGCCATTTGTGTACTATATTTACTTTTCTCTTTATTTATTCTCATTTGTAAAAGACATTACGATTTACGAAGCACATACTTATACTTTATATGTAGTTGAGAACCAGTTTTTTTGTACCTGTATTCATCACTTAATATTAATATTCTTTGAGGATATTTCGTCATGAATAAACAAATATAATAGTTAATGGAAATAGAAAGTTTTTAACAAAGATTTATATATTTTATTATACACTAGAACTGTATAGATATAACCTTCCATTGTATTATAATATAAGCCTATATAGCTTTTAATATTGTTTCTTTAATTTACAAGCCTCTAGAAATAATAACAACAGTAATAATAAGAATAACAACAATAACAACAATAATAATAATAATAATAATAATAATAATAACAATAATAACACTAATATCTTTACTGGCAATTATGGAACAGTAATTTATTATAAAAAGTCATTGCTAACATAAGAAAGGGGTTGATGGTATTAACTAGTTGACATAGTAATTTACTTATAACGTCACAGGGAGATACAGCGCCTTCGTGAGTACATACAGTCATAAAGATGATACATACAGACAGTTATTTTTACGTACACAATTAATTTTTTTCGTGTACACACATAAATACAGACATGCATATATGTAACTACTGACATACGTTTATACATAACTACAGCACAGATATACACACACACACACACACACACACACACACACACACACACACACACACACACACACGTCCATAAACACATTGACAAGTAAATACAGACATTATTAGACTCATACACACACTTAATTATACACTTAAATACATAATGAGATATTTACTTACACGTAGACCAACACATATTTTTGAAGAGGAAAATTTTACTATTCTACTCAGAGTTGCTACAGCGAGGCCGTGGCGCCACTCGTCAATAAAATGAGGGCAAACTTCTCTATTTAGTGATCTAATTTATTTTTTAACTTGAAGAAAAAGAAACTCATGAACATCACAGAACTAAAAAATGCAGTAAAAAAATATTTTACTTAAACTAAATTAACTACCATAGAATCGATGTCCAAAGGAGAATAACGCCAGGCGCCGTTGATTGCTCATGCTACCGCTGGTCTAGGCCTAACTTCGTATCTAGACCCCCATCTATTAGCAGCCAAGTTGATATAGTTGAGAGTGGAGGCGGTGACAGCTGGTGGTGGTGGTGGTGGTGGTGGTGGTGATGGTGATGGTGTTGTTGTTGGTGGTGGTGTAGGTGGACACAGGCCCTCGTGGGTAAGACACCACCATATCAGGTAGGTCATCACACTGAAGAATGACGCCATCGCTAACACAGACACCACATGATTCTCTGGCCTGTGTGATGACAATAATATTTAGATACATATATTTTTTTTTTTCAGCTTAAATTTACACAAAACTCAATGTTATATTTTACATAGAACAAAAATCAAGAAGAACAATAACACCGCATAACTGACAAATTATCAAGAATAAATTTTATAAAACTGTAAAAAAAAAAAAATGGCGTTAATGATCTTTTATTAACAAACTTTGAACGACTAAGAGTAGATTAATTTTTTGTTTCTTTGTTACTTTAAATAATAATGTATTTATTCAGTCTTTTTATTTTTATATGTATTTAGTCATTTATTTATTTATTCATTTTTTTTATCAATTTCTTCATTTATTTACGAATAATTTCTTTAGTTAATATTATTTTCTTTCTATCTATCTATCTATCTATCTATCTATCTATCTATCTATCTATCTATCTATCTATCTATCTGTCTGTCTATCTATCTATCTATCTATCTATCTATCTATCTATCTGTCTACCATAACTCGTCTTCATCCTCCACCATAGCCACCATAATTGGTCTTTACCCTCTACCATTGCACCATAACCATTGTAACTTCCATGAGCAATTGTTACAGCCACCATAACCATATTCATTATAACAACCATAAACTACTTACCTTCCGACTATACCACCATAGCCACCTCCATAACCACCATAGCCACCTCCATAACCACCATAGCCACCTCCATAACCACCATAGCCACCACCATAACCACCATAACCGTTGTCATGGCCATATCCACCATCTCGGTTGAGTACTGCCGCCTGGTCAACCATATTACCTGTGGGTGTGTACAAGGTATGGGTGAGCCCCTCTCTCTCTCTCTCTCTCTCTCTCTCTCTCTCTCTCTCTCTCTCTCTCTCTCTCATCAATCACCGTCTTAATAGCTTTACACTTTGACAATTAAGCAAGACATTGTAACTAATTTCAGACCTAAATAAACACTTTATCAAAACTTAACGTAGAACTCTGTAAACTTAATCAGGGCGACGTGACGCACAGACGGACGGACGTAGTGACAAGTTGACGTACAGATGAATTAAGGGATATACGACACCTATGCCTGGATAGACGGGCAGAAGAACGGACAGACATACAGAAATACAGACACACAAACCAAACAGACATAGAAATTCATCCACCTTTAATTTATACCACAGACAAAAATGGAATAACAAGAATGATCAAGAAGTTTACCTACTCTTTGGGGGGGGGGGGTAATATATCCCTCACTCTCATAGAACTTCCATCAGTGAGGTGAGGAAGGCGAGCAGTAAACACAATACCTTACCACAGTATCTGCAGAAAGACGTCCACCACCACTACCACTACCACCCAGCACTAAATCTTCTACCACACTGATGTATAGATTCGAACTCTACTTAGTCTGTTTGTACGTCCAACTATTGTGATCATAAAGGTGTAAATTCTAGCCAAAATCACGAGGAAATGCCCTTAAAGAGTGTGGTATAGCTCTATTTTGCCCGTAAGGTTCTGTTGACATTGATGACGAAGGCGGAAATTCTGGCAAACATTACCTTTTAAAATGTAATCACGGAATCAGAATAGCACTGTCTGTTTCCGAGGAGATTGTGTGTATACATTGACGATAAAGGTGAGAATTTGGACCAAAATCATGGTTTAATGTGTCTTAAAGGATGACTAATTATATCATTGTCTTGTATGGGCGTCAGTGATATTGGGTTGATGTTGGAATAATCGAACCATGACGTGTGAGGACAGTATAGGGTGTTGTGATACGTTGTGATCTGACGAGGTTGTGAAGACGTGTTGTAGGAGGACCCAAGCGAAGAAGAGACAGACAGACAGACAGACAGAAATCACAAGACAATGAGACAGATGTAAAAAGAAGTGATGACTGATGGTGTATTTTCATTCATATCTATAGGCCATTGTAATCTATCTATGCATTTCTCAATCTGTCAATAACTGTCTGTCTGTCTGTCTGTCTGTCTGTCTGTCTGTCTGTCTGTCTGTCTCCTACCTGTTGGCCGCTAGAGTACAGTTAGTCAAACATCGGCGATAGATAATCAAGTGTGTGTGTGTGTGTGTGTGTGTGTGTGTGTGTGTGTATGTGTGTGTCGGTATAATTTTACGTACATGTGACCAAGCAAGTATATTTGTTGATATAAACTTAATAGATTCTTGTCAGTGAAGGGAAGGGAAGGTGTGGACAGTAGTGAAGATGGAAGGAAGAAGGTGTAGAAGAAGGAGAAGAAATGGGATGTTAATGAAGGGAGAAAGGAGAAGGGAGAAAAGACGATAAACAATGATATGCTTGGTCTGTTTTCCTGCACCTGCCCCCTCTCCTGTATGTATGGGTAACCTCAATCAGTTTTATTTTCCTACGTAACTGAGAGAAGGATTTTTTTTTTATTATTATGAGAGAGAGAGAGAGAGAGAGACAAGGTTCTTAGTTTGGGATTAATCTACATTGGAAAAAATAAAAATATAAGTATCATAACAGGAGAACTATGTAATTATATATACTAGTTATGTTACTCAGCCTCGCCTGGGTAGATGTGTAAGATATAATGGCTGACCATCTCCAAGACCACCCACAACTCCTTAACTCCTTTCCAAAGTTTCAGCTCTGTCTTCAAAATACACACACACACACACACACACACACACACACACACACACACACACACACACACATAAACACACATATTATATATTCATTCTATTGACATCTAGTCATATTACCATCTATTAATTACATACATACCCGGTACTCTGTCTATCTATCTATCTATCTATCTATCTATCTATCTATCTATCTATCTATCTATCTCCTGGTATCTTTACTAATTAGTATTTCTGTATGTTTAATTTTTCAGGATTTTTTTTTTAAATTCTACTCCATTTTCGTTTTCTGTTTTCTGGGTGATTCTACTTGAAGCAGGTAGTGTTGATGAGGTGTTACACAACTACCACACCTGCTTCCTCGTGTGGACAGGTGTGTGTACATAACAGTCATGTACACAGAGGGACGTTTGTGTGTGTGTGTGTGTGTGTGTGTGTGTGTGTGTGTGTGTGTGTGTGTGTGTGTGTGTGTGTGTGTGTGGATGCTTCAAATGAGCTTAAGAATAACCTGAAGTTATCGGTGAAGCATTGTAACGCGGATCCTGTCTCTTCATCTCACGGGTCACACTTTTATGCTTCTTTCCAGATAGCGATCAAACACAATGTCGACTCTGTCATGATTTACTAACAGTTTCTTTATCTCCGGTAAAAATATATTCAGGACATAATCTCTACATGATTTGTGTCCTGGGCGAGGCATCATTGACTGTATCACAAATTCATCATCAAGAACATTGCAGTCAATGTTGTTGGGTACATCAGAGCCAGTCACTCACAATGCTCCGGCAAACACTCGACGAGGTCTTCGAGGCTTGTTGCACGATGGGTGGATGATGTCACCAAGTGTGTCAGAATAGAGTAACTTTTTTTGGTTTGCTTCAGTGAGTTTTCTGTTGTTTTAAATTTACTCTTTCCATCAGAAAAAAGTTCAATGTTATTCTTATAGATAGTCGAGAGAACAGCTCTGGATCTCTCCACAAAAACTTCTCTCTGGAATTTACGATGCTGCTCCTTACCCATTTCTCCCATCTTGTACACGAGACTCTCAGCAGCTTCGGGTGCTTTCATTTGGTGACAAGGTTTGGTCATTGACGTGAGATACTTCGAAAAAAGGATTTTATTGTTCATTGAGGTACTTTGTTAACTTATCGACATCACTGTGAAATCGACCTTCCATATAGGCAGTTTCTGAATGGTGCTTGGTATCTGGTAATCTAGAAGCTTCTCTTGCTTCCTCTTCAAACTGCTTCAACAATCTGGTGATGAGGGGTTCAAACACCAAGTATCGTTTCAGAACATTGGGATCGCTGACAAATCCTGACAATCCTCCATTATTCTTCATATCATCATTTAACTGTTCGTGCGTCTGGTCAAGGTGCAGAGAACTGAATTACTTCTCAGTCTTCTTAATCGTGAAAATTCCTTTATAGAGAAGATGGATCACCTCTGGGTTAAAATCCACAATGTTTCTCCAACCTATAAGCTGAATGAAGACCAATCTCGAGTACATGGGATGATCGAAGAGAAAGATCCAGGTAACCCACTCAGCTGTAGGCTTCACCGGAACAAGTCAAAATCATGTTCTCTCATGGGTCGGACATATACTGTACACCAGAAACTTCCAACCAGAATTTGTTCGGTGAGTTCTCTGCATGTTCCTGTGACCATTGCTCAAACTCTGGGACGTTGGATGACTCGAACTCTGTACTCATCAACTAGAATAAAGATGCATCTGCAACTTGTTATATATAGCGAGTCTTGGTTATGTGTGACGCCTCTAGATGACCAGGTTCAGAACTTGTCATAACTCCTGATTCATACATACCGAGTCGTGAGTGAGCGCCGTCACGTTTTTTGGCTATTTCAGGCACTAAACTTGTTTATAGCTCAAAACTAAATTGCTCTACCCTCAATAACTCGACAATTTCCTTTCGATTGAGCTAAAAACGGAGTCTCTAGCTCAATAATTGGCCGATATAGTGATTTGGGCTAATTAAGGTCAATTAGAATCAATTAAGGACATATTTCAACTGGGTTCCGACCTTTAATCATGTTAGAATCACTTCAGCTACCACTATACATAGTTTCGTTGCTCTACTCGAAAATGAAGTATCTTACCATTTTTTTTTACCATAAGAATTCCTGCTAATCATAGAAAATGGAAAGCCGTCTCAGTGAATAAGATTTTATTTAAACTTATTCATACATTGAATATATTACATAATGGTCTCATACACAATTGTCCAATACATACATACATACATACATACATACACACATACATACATACATACATACATACATACATACATACATACATACATACAACACCTGTGAATCTAAAAGTGGGTTAATAAGTTAGTGTTCCCCTATAATTGACTGTTCGGAAGACATCTTAATTATAGACTATCTCCCGAAGACATCTCATACAATACCATACGTAACATTTCCTTATACCTATCTATAGTGAATTTATTTTAACTGAATATAAACATATCATAAAAAATACAAAATATGAAGTTAGTTATTATAATATACAGATGAGGATATAATAATGCCTTCTAGTTTACTTTGATGTGAGGATAATTGGATAACTTGATATACATTACAGGAGAACTTGTAGTCACTCAGGTATGAAAACAGTAAATCAACAACCAGGTACGTGTTAATAATAGAGTCAGACATGAGAAAGGGAGGTGTTTGTTGACATGTGCACAGAGAAAGAGAGAGAGAGAGGGGAGAGGGTTAGAAGGAAGAGGAAGATAGATAGATAAAGATAAAGATGAGTATTGTATTTAATGCCTCTTTAATGTGGTCGTGATTCACAACATTACAGTTTAAAACAGTTTTTTTATATATATAGACTTTACATTATAAGCTAACAAGCCTTTTTTTGTGTCTCTTCGTTTCTATGGTCAGTGTACAGTACCTCCATTTTCTGTTTCCTCCTTCTTCCACTCACTCCTTCCTCTCCTTCTCCTCACTCCTTCCTCCTCCTCCTCCTCCTCCTCCTCCTTCTCACCCTTTCCTCCTTCATCCACAACACAGCGAAGAGGTACTCTAAGGCTCATCCATTATCAGGCACTCAGAACATCTCCTCCCCCTCCTCCTCCTCCTCCTCCTCCTCCTCCTCCTCCTCCTCTTCTTCCTCCTCCAGTTCCCGAGGCAAGAGGTACTCAAAGGTCGCCCATCTCTCGAAGGCGTTGGTCACGTCGTCCAGGATGGCGATAGCTGTGTCAGATGACCTTATAGAGCGGACACCAATAACACCACCTATCTCCTCCTCCTCAGTCTCTAGAGTAGACAGGTAGAAGTAGATGAGGTAGGTGAGGAAGGAAGTAAACAACACCAAGGATAACACACTGTACACGTCGATACTCTTCTTACTCATCTCACCACCCATAGCACCGTACCTGCAGAAGGCCATGTAGAAGGTTATACATATAGAGTCACTAGTGTTTATGTTAGGTGATTTAAAGGCAGTTTGGCCAACTAAATCATAGATATATTATACATCATATTGGATGACCTTGAACTGTTTATTAACTGGGTATTTTATAGAACAGAATTATATGGAGACAGACAGACAGACAGACAGACAGACAGACAGATAGATAGATAGATAGATAGATAGATAGATAGATAGATAGATATCATACGGAACAAATTAATAACAAACTGGTTGAATTTACCCCATGTCGCCACTACTTCGACTGTTGTCCCAGCCACCTTCCGCGACGTCCCAGGCCCCAACCCTCCTGTCCAGGCCCCAGGACTGTCCCTGCTCTCGTTCCTGGGTCATCCACACGTCTCTATCTCCCTCAATCATCCCGTTGAAGGATTCCCTGTTGTCAACCTCGCCAGTCAACCTTCCATTGGATCCTCTGTGGTCAAGTCTCCCGTTTAATCTTCCTCCGTTGAATTGATCAGTAAATTGTGTGTTGATCCCTCCGTTGTTCTGTTGGTGAAGGTCATAATTGTTGTTGTTCTGTTGACGGTGCCTGTTGTCACTGCCATTTGCGTTAGACACAGTGTCATCTTGGTTACGTTGATTTATCTTGTGATTCTTGAACATTTCCTGGAGACGTAGGCCGTAAAAGTCATCTTTGTCGAGTGTGGTGGCCGGGAGGACGAGGTAGGGCACGTTATAGCTGGCGGTGACGGAGGAGGTAGCGGGGTCAAAGCGCTCATACGGTCCAACCTGCCTCCAGTGGGACGCTTTGAGAGGCTCCTCCTTCCCTATAGCCACGCCTCCTCCAACCAAGACCACGCCCATTAGCACGAACCACATTATCTGCAATAACGTAGAATTTATTACCATTAATTCCTAGTTCTCGGTTACCTTCTGTACTAACACTGAATAGACCAACTGCCCGAACTCCTTGTATAAGCTGATAAGAGGGCAGCAGCTACGTTTATTTTAGTTACCCATTAAATTGCTTTTATTTTTCATCGTTTTCTCTGATTCTTACTACTGATCCTCCAGGCGTTATGATGTTATTAATGCTCTTCAACTACTATAAGGTATTTTAAGGCGTAATTAGTTTATTAAGTACACACACACACATACAGAATCCTCTAACCTGAGACATTAAGTTACCTCTACTCCCTTAATCATACCGTAATGTAAAGAAGGTAACTCTTATCACTTGAAGATTAAAACACCCTAACGCTACTTGGGTGAAGGACTTGGATTACGTTAGATTAAATTTGGTTGGTATTAGGTTAGGTTAGGTTAGGTTAGGTTAGGTTAGGTTAGGTTAGGTTAGGTTAGGTTAGGTTAGGTTAATCTTTACGTGATTGTCTATGTCTCTCTCTCTAATAATAACTTTCTGGTCTAGATACTTACCATTAATATTTTCAATTAACGTCGAAGGGATGAATTTATGTCTATTTAAACGTCATTAAATTGGTATGACGTATGAGTGACGTCACAGCCTACACACGCTTCTGCCGCTTATGCACTAAGAGGTCCCGTTATCTTCACCAACCAGTTAGATGCCCAATAGTACACGTAGGGAATCTGTCCACGTTTCCTTTTTTTTCTTTTCACTAGAGATCAAACTCCAAACACTTAATTGTCACTTATAATTTACAAGAACTTCGAGATGATAAGTTGTTTTAGTTCAGGTCACTTAGCACTTACTCTGGACACCCAAGCAAAATCAGGGCTTACTAGATGAGGCTTCCTGTACAATATTTTCAAGTAACAATTTGGGGAACACGAATGTCTTTTTTGATACTTCTTCTTTACTTTTTGGTCTAAATGACTGTTCCTCCATGCACCACCACCTATGATATCTTGTGTTTGTGGCAGAAGATACAAAAAAAAAAAGAGTGGTCCTCAGTGAAGTTCAGGAGGGCTGGTGTGGAGTGTGATTAGTGCTACGACTCTGGTGGTACTATGGTCGTGTTACCTACCTGGACGAACAGGTGAGAGGATAGAGCCTGCTTGGTGGTGATGGTACAGTAGAGTGAGCGAGAGACTGTGCGAGGCTCCCAGTGTGTGTGTGTGTGTGTGTGTGTGTGTGTGTGCGCGCCTTAGATGACGATGTGTTTGTGTGTTACTTTATTTGTTTGTGTGTGTGTGTGTGTGTGTGTGTGTGCATTTATTATTATTATTATTATTATTATTATTATTATTATTATTATTATTATTATTATTATTATTATTATTATTATTATTATTTATGAAGTTATTCATTTTTATATATTATGAATATCTCCATGATCGTCTCTCACCAATAAGAAGTTTAGACAAAAGAAATACATACAAGTTATATATCTATTTCACAGTCATACCTTTTTTCTATTACATATCAGTGATGTAGGTCTCGAGATTATTATTCCAGGTCTCGATCTCGATCTCGGCCTATCTGTGATCTAGGATTTTGCACGGTACCTTTCGAGACCACAATTTATTTATTTATTCTTGGGTCTCGTGTTTAAGGTTAAAGATATAAAGTACCTGGATGTAATGAACGATCCTTATTTAGTAGATTATAACAATAAGACATTAGGAAGAAACAAAACCTACATATGTAATTGATAATATTTATATCATGGAATTAAAAACATATACATATTATATACCTTTTTTATACACACATAACACTACTAAGCTTCCATAAATATATTTACTAGAAAAAAAACACACACACGTAAAATTGGGTTTACACGCAAACATAAATAAACACAGATTACCTGAAGATTAACCTCACAAATGCTCTACCTGAAGATTCACACCTAAGCTTAATTCACCTGAAGTTTAACCACCCCAATAGATAATGAGCACTGATGTCATTACAGTAGTATGGTTACAAAAATATAAAAGAATATACCTTCACTTATCCTTACTGTAGTCAGTTGCTGGTTTATTGTTTTACCTGGGGTGAGGTAACACGGTGGAACTCATTAGTCACATGATGAGTAGCTCCCCCCCCCCCCCTTCCTATATCTTGGTCTCGGTCTCCAAAAGATCTCGATTTCGGCCTTAGCCTCGGATTTAGTGGTCTCGATTACGTCACTGACATATTGAGAGAGGAGTAAGGACAGTTATTATTCACATCTAACTTATATTCCTTCAACATTATACACCAGGATCCAGATTCTCAAATGCTCGTAAGTCAATCGTTCTCCTTTGTGGACTTGTGAGGCAGATTCTGTAACACTAAAGATAAAACTCACAATATGGAACTAAAATGGAAACAAACTTACAACCGAGAGTATAATTAGGAGAAAATTAATAACGTATAATACTATGGGTATCTATAATCAGGTATGTGGCAGGTAACCAACAGGTATGCTCATTTGATTCACCAGACAGGCATCCCTACCTTATTTCAACCACCTGGCTACATCGACCACTTCTTCTACCCCTTCAGGCAGGTATTCCAGCAGTGACCACCTTCCGAGAGCAGTGGCTACTTTTTGGAAGAGCATGAAGGTAGTCCAGGCGTCTTTTCCATCCTCTCGGAACGCGCGAGTTAGGTCGTTGTCAGGTTCTTCCTCGCCGAGGCTTCTGAGGCACTCGTAGATGATGTAGCAAAGGAAGGTAGAGAAGATAATCAAACCGAAGACGCTGTACAAGTGGTTCGTAATGCTGGCGTCTCCACCACCGTAGCCGCCAACACCGTAGCCGTCACCACCACCGTAGCCGCCAACACCGTAGCCGAGGCCACCGCCGCCACGACCGCCACCATCGTAGCCGCCACCGTAGCCGCCACCACCGCCGCCACCGTAGCCGCCACCACGCCGCCACCCGCCACCACCACTGTCACCACTGGCCAGTGTACCACCGCCGCCACCGTAGCCGCCACCACCGCCGCCACCGTAGCCGCCACCACCGCCGCCACCGTAGCTGTCATCACCGCCGCCACCGTAGTCCCCACCACCGCCGCCACCACTGGCGCTAGTCGCCGCCACCAGTGGCGCTAGTGTAACCGCCACCGCCGCCACCGTAGCCCCCACCACCGCCGCCACCACTGGCGCTAGTGTAGCCGCCACCACCGCCGCCACCGTAGCCGTCACCACCACCGCCACCGTAGCCGCCACCACCGCCGTCACCATTAGCGCCAGTGTAGCCACCACTGCCGCCACCGCTGAGGAAGAAAACGAGATAGGAGTTATTACCGAGAGAATGGATGAAGTGTCATAGGACCGCCCCTGATCCCCCCTTAAATAACACTCACCAACAAACTTGACCAACAATAAAATATAAAATCTCACTGACATAAACCAGACGGAACACATTAATACCCAGAACCGCTGCGTCCTCTTCTACTGTGTCCGAGCTGATTCACGGGGTTCTGGAGGGGTTCTGTGAGGTCGGTGTAGTAGGAGGAGGTTTGGAGGTTTGTACTACTGTAGGAGGAAACGTCAGGGGAGACGCTAGAGTGAACATCCTGATGAACAGTTCCCGGTGAGATACTGAAGCCTGAGGTAGCGGAGTCCTGAGCTTCCTGTGGTAAATCTTGTCCCTGTCCCCACGCCTCCAGGGATCCCTCACTCCTACCCACGCCTACGAGAACCACCACACCCAACATCAACCACACTTTCTAAAATACAAAAAGAAGTAATTCAAAAAGTATTTAAGGAATGTTATTGAGATAAATATGTGTTCTCCATCCTGAAATATAAAGAGACGGGTAGTTATGAGGGAATGATTCTTGAGAGTTATACAGGGTGGTCATAGAAAAATCCTTCACAAGTTTTAAAAGTTGTTGTTTGGACATTAAGTTTCATAAGTGATTTATCATTGTTTTTAAAGACAATAATTTTACTTTCAGCTTAGATAACTACATCACAGTTCACTCCTGAGTAGAGACCAGAACTGGTGAAGGTGTATAATGAACAAGGCAACTCTCTGAGGAGGGAACAACGTGCATACAAACGTACACACACTCACAACACTACTTCATCACATCACACAATACTGCCAGCCATACATCACTACTGCCAGCCATACATCACTACTGCCAGCCATACATCACTACTGCCAGCCATACATCACTACTGCCAGCCATACATCACTACTGCCAGCCATACATCACTACTGCCAGCCATACATCACTACTGCCAGCCATACATACTGCCAGCCATACATCACTACTGCCAGCCATACATCACTACTGCCAGCCATACATCACTACTGCCAGCCATACATCACTCCTGCCACTATGCATCACTACTGCCAGCCATACAGCCATACATCACTACTACTATGCCAGCCATACATCACTACTGCCAGCCATACATCACTACTGCCAGCCATACATCACTACCTGCCAGCCATACATCACTACTGCCAGCCATACATCACTACTGCCTGCCATACATCACTACTGCCAGCCATACATCACTACTGCATCACTACTACATCACTACTATACATCACTACTGCCAGCCATACATCACTACTGCCACAGCCATACATCACTACTGCCAGCCATACATCACTACTGCCAGCCATACATCACTACTGCCAGCCCATCACTACTGCCAGCCATACATCACTACTGCCAGCCATACATCACTACTGCCAGCCATACATCACTACTGCCAGCCATACATCACTACTGCCAGCCATACATCACTACTGCCAGCCATACATCACTACTGCCAGCCATACATCACTACTGCCAGCCATACATTACTCTGAGGAACGTGTCAGCCTCAGAAACAACAACAAAGAGAGGAATGGGCGTCTCAAAGCTGCTACAACAAGCACAAATACTCAACGAGTTACACCTTCAATAAAGTCCATGATATTCGTCACACCGACTGTATGCTGAGGTTGTGTGTTGCATATGTTACACAAAGATCTACAGTTATATCCATAGATGCTCAGGTTCTTTAGGCAAGATTTGATCAGATTATGGCAAGCCGACTGTCCTTTGTAGATGAAAATTTCAAAGTTAGTGGAGCAGAATTTAGAAATCATGAAGTCAATTCAGGTCATGGATGCTGCCCATTTCCATCTTCCTGGCCACGTGAACAAGGATAATCTTCCAATATGTGGGTCAGCAGGCAACCACACGAGGTGTTTTAAGGAAGTACTAGCCAGCAATACGGAGACGTAATGCTACCAGACAAAACGATTGGTGTTGGACTGACTGAGAAAGATACTCTATATGGCAGGATGTTATCATGACGCGCGGAGTAAGAATATCCCTCACAGCCCACAGCACATGAGGTATACAAGAACCCAGCGCCCAGGTGACTTAAACAAACTCAAAGTTAACATTCGGCGAGAAATGACACGAATTCAATAAGACAATTGTAGCTGTGATGGAAAACTTCCTCACAAGGGTACAGTGGGTGTTAGGACAAGGAGGCGTTGGATTGTCGCTTGTCGTGTACTTCTAGACATAGTTGAAGGCTTAAGACAAGTACCGCGAGGAGTACCTTATAGAACAACGTCCTCAGGTCAGGGTAGCAGCGTGATAGTGGTAACCAGACCTACTAGGTACCCCACCCCAGGCTGAACCGGTTTACTCTGGGGCTCGCGGCTCACCACTCTGCCTCCTTCCTTCTCCTCTCTCATTCTAACATAAATATAATATTCGATAAGTTTCATCATCACTTTACCTAAATCATTAGCCTTTGAATCCACCATTTCGTGATACCATTTGTTGTAAGTCTGGCTCTGCTAAGTGTGTTGGCACGTCTACTGTGTAACTCCCTCTCTAACTGACCCCATCACTCACTCACTCACTCACTCACTAAAATAGAAAACTTTAACTCAGAATAGGTAAGAGTAACCCACACGTTTTCCTTTTCAGTAAACAAATTCTTAACATTAGGTGTCTATGTTTTCTTAGCGTACAATATCCCCATCAGACCTTATGGTATAATACATTAATATGCAACACCACATATTATACCACAATGTAAACTATAGAGTTAAATTGTCTACACCATCTTTATTGACACCCTTAACATGGTACAATCCGTTTATACTTTTTTCACAGTGTTTTAGAGGTGATATACTCTTCAACATAGTTCACTGGGTGGTGTTTACAGATACTCACTAGTGCCACCGTCAAAGTATTCATCTGGTTAGTATGGTTAATATACACCTATCAGTCTATCTTTATCGGTAATGAGTATATTTAACACCTTAAGAATCTTCAAAGTTATTATTTGTTGAATGATATGATTATTATTAAATTTATGTCATATATTTCTCACAAAAATAATCTATAAAACCAACCATTGTGTTTTGTTGTGAAGGAGACATCAGAGCAGCTCACGTGACTGTTATGTTTATAGATGATGTCATGGATGTCATACACTACAGTCCTCTTGGTGTTGTCTTAAAGCGTTGAGTCGCCAGTTGTACTCTCCTTATAGCAGATGAGCGTACCAATGGCCAGTGACAAACGTACAGTCAGCCAGATTTGTTGTTCCCTTCATCAGATCAACTTATGACATAAATCACTCAGTCCTGTACGGCTCCTCAACAACCATAGTTCTTGAGCCTCAGTAATATATTATAGCGTCACTATCACTGTTTACAAACACTTCAGAGAACCTCCTCAACAACCATAGTTCTTGAGCCTCAGTAATATATTATAGCGTCACTATCACTGTTTACAAACACTTCAGAGAACCTTCAAATAACTTTAAGTATCTCTACCATCACCAAACAACACCAACACCCTAGACACTCAAGAGTCAGTATATACCAGCAACTAAGTATTACAGTCTGTGGAGGTGAACGATTGGTGCTGGTAGGTGGTGACAACTGAGAAGCCCAGAAGAGAGACAACTACTCCAGAAGTATCGACTTTGAACACTGAGGAACAACAAGTTTTACCAAAGCACTATTTCTTACCTCGCCTCGTGTGTGTGTGTGTGTGTGTGTGTGTGTGTGTGTGTGTGTGAAACTAGAATCATTGTACTTGAGGTAAAGATCACCATTGGTACACAGGTGCAAGGTGTTGTGGCTCCTTGAGGGTGTAGTGGGGTGTTTGTTGTAGCTCCTTGAGGGTGTAGTGGGGTGTTTGTTGTAGCTCCTTGAGGGTGTAGTGGGGTGTTTGTTGTGGCTCCTTGAGGGTGTAGTGGGGTGTTTGTTGTAGCTCCTTGAGGTGTAGTGGGGTGTTTGTTGTGGCTCCTTGAGGGTGTAGTAGGTGTAGTGTTGGTGTTTGTTGTGGCTCCTTGAGGGTGTAGTGGGGTGTTGTTGTGGCTCCTTGAGGGTGCTCCTTGAGGTGTAGTGGGGTGTTCATTGTGGCTCCTTGAGGGTGTAGTGGGGTGTTTGTTGTGGCTCCTTGAGGGTGTAGGGAGTGTTTGTTGTGGCTCCTTGAGGGTGTAGGGGGTGTTTGTTGTGGCTCCTCGAGGGTGTAGTGGGGTGTTTGTTGTGGCTCCTTGAGGGTGTAGTGGGGTGTTTGTTGTGGCTCCTTGAGGTGTAGTAGGGTGTTTGTTGTGGCTCCTCGAGGGTGTAGTGGGGTGTTTGTTGTGGCTCCTTGAGGGTGTAGTGGGGTGTTTTGTGGCTTCTTGAGGGGTGTGAGTGGGGTGTTTGTTAGGCTCCTTGAGGGGTGTAGTGGGGTGTTTGTTGTGTCCCTCGAGGGTGTAGTGGGGTGTTTGCTGTGGCTCCTTGAGGGTGTAGTGGGGTGTTTTTGTGGCTTCTTGAGGGTGTAGTGGGTGTTTGTTGTGGCTCCTTGAGGGTGTAGTGGGGTGTTTGTTGTGGCTCCTTGAGGTGTAGTGGGGTGTTTTTGTGGCTCTTTGAGGGTGTAGTGGGTGTTTTGTGGCTCTTGAGGTGTAGGGGTGTTTGTGTTCTTGAGGTGTAGTGGGGTGTTTGTTGTGGCTCCTTGAGGTGTAGTGGGGTGTGTTTGCTCCCGAGGTGTGTGGGGTGTTTGCTGTGGCTCTTGAGGGTGTAGTGAGGTGTTTGTTGTGGCTCCTTGAGGGTAGTGGGGTGTTGTTGTGCTTCTTGAGGTGTAGTGGAGTGTTTGTTGGCTCCTTGAGGGGTGTAGTGGAGTGTTTGTTGTGGCTCCTTGAGGGTGTAGTGGAGTGTTTTTGTGGCTTCTTGAGGGGTGTAGTGGAGTGTTTGTTGTGGCTCCTTGAGGGTGTAGTGGAGTGTTTGTTGTGGCTCCTTGAGGGTGTAGTGGAGTGTTTGTTGTGCTCCTTGAGGGTGTAGTGGGGTGTTTTGTGGCTTCTTGAGGGTGTAGTGGAGTGTTTGTTGTGGCTCCTTGAGGGTGTAGTGGGTGTTTGTTGTGGCTCCTCGAGGGTGTAGTGGAGTTTGTGGCTTCTTGAGGTGTAGTGGGGTGTTTGTTGTGGCTCCTTGAGGGTGTAGTGGGGTGTTTGTTTGTGGCTCCTTGTGTGGGGTGTTGTTGTGGCTCCTTGAGGGTGTAGTGGGGTGTTTGTTGTGGCTCCTCGAGGTGTGTGGGTGTTTGTTGTGGCTCCTTGAGGGTGTAGTGGGGTGTTTTTGTGGCTTCGAGGGTGTAGTGGGGTGTTTGTTGTGGCTCCTTGAGGGGTGTAGTGGGGTGTTGTTGTGGCTCCTTGAGGTGTAGTGGGGTGTTGTTGTGTGCTCCTTGAGGGTGTAGTGGGGTGTTTGTTGTGGCTCCTTGAGGTGTAGTGGGGTGTTTATTTGTGGCTCCTTTGAGGGTGTAGTGGGGTTTTTGTTGTGGCTCCTTGAGGGTGTAGTGGGGTGTTTTTTGTGGCTTCTTGAGGGTGTAGTGGGGTGTTTGTTGTGGCTCCTTGAGGGTGTAGTGAGGTGTTTGTTGTGGCTCCTTGAGGGTGTAGTGGGGATGAGATGGGTATTGTAAAGAAGTCTAGGTCAACTCGCCAACCAGATTCTTCAACGTGCAGAGTCAGTTTTTCCCAGTAACTTTAAGAAAGCGTCTAACTGTTTCACCTTTTTTCTGGCGACAATCAGGAACAAGTCACTACCAGTGTTTATATGTGTGAATATCCATCGTAACTGTCAATGAAAGAATAAGGTCAACATGGCATCGAAATCACAATGAGAATCCATTATAAGGTCGTGAATTCACTCTCATCCCGGGGTAAAAAAAAAGAAAAAAAAGAACTTAAGATCGTTTATAAATCTGTAATTCACGAAACTTATTATCTTGTTTAATTATTCATTCAGTCATTGTTTAAGTAAGTAAATTATTTATTTTTTCGTTTGTGTTTTGGATATTTTAGTTTTTATATTTTGTGGTTTTTAGATATTATATTTTTTACAACTTTCCTGGAATCTCTGTCTCTCTCTCTCTCTCTCTCGTTCAGACCATCAATTTATTTAACTATACACATATTTACCGATACAACCATCAACTCATCATCAACATCAAACTACAGATCAGAGGAAAGAAAAACAGCTGTAGTCAAGATCCTTTATTTAGGACTTAACATAATAATAATGCCCGTCTCACCACCCTTAATGGATAGTTTGTTTACAGTACACCTAACACTGACCTTCGTGTGTGTGTATGTGTGTGTAGATCAACATTTTAGGTACACACAGCATAACATTGTGTCCCAATATGAGTTAAATATAAGCACATATAAATTAACAATATATTCACATGTACTGTTCATCCATAATCTACTAACACATGAATCCTTGAAGTATACACATAAATAAATCAACACTGTACATACATATAAAGTAATAATGTGTATAAATATAGTAACAACCTCTTAAGAGCTATCATTTATTATGCCCGAGTTGCAGTCTTTGAGAACGATGTTGTTGTTGTGTGTGTGTGTGTGTGTGTGTGTGTGTGTGTGTGTGTGTGTGTGTGTGTGTGTGTGTGTGTGTGTGTGTGTGTGTGTGTGTGTGTGTGTGTATGTGTGTGTGAACAATTAAGGTACAACACGTGTTAAGACTCACGACTCATCTCTCTCACCTGAGCTCCTGTATAATAATGTTAAGTTTCCCACACATATATAATGGTCACTAGATAACAAATATATTAATGTTAGTGTTGTTTAAACTTGGTTATTTAGACTCTCTGGTGCAGCTCCATACTTGAATTGACTTAACTTAGCGTCCATCACGTCACAGCTCCTCCTCGACACAGACGGGAGAATAGCTGACTTACTCATAATAAATCTGACATCATTGCACAAATCTATGTCTTATTGTATCATCTAAATACCGTTAATAGATTAATTATTTAGTCAAGGCAGTAATGGAGTGTATCTTTAAGATGAATAAAATACAATCACTCGCTCTCGTGTGGTAGAGTATATGAAATTTCCATCATAAACCTCTTGTGTTTACTGAGATTATCCATGTGGAGGCCTCGGTCTCTGTATCTGCTGGTGAAGGAGGGGCCGTAGGCGGTACATACTAGGCTGTGGTAACCTGACTTGCTGAAATTCTTAATATTATATGGCTGGCCTTCGTTATCTTCCCTATATCATTTAATAATTCATTTTTAGTGTGACAATAAAAACTGATCACTAATTGTACTGCCACGTGACTGATGGAAGTATTTCGAGATATATATGAAAAGTAGTTTTGGTAAACATTTCTGGATGAACCTTTGATGCATATTCTTTGGCATCAGTTAAGATCGAAGATGACACCATGACGAAGATGAGTTCCCCCGAAGAGAAATTCCGAAGCAGAACTAAACAACACAACAAGGTTCTTCTGCTGAGTCTTGGAAGTTAAGACGCAGGCTTTAAAGGCACGTTGTTGACGAAGACGGAGGTGCGTGGGGGGTCGGTCTCTGGGTCATGGCGGATGTGCATGCGGTTGTTAACAATGAATCTCTTGCTGGCTGACGTCGGCACCTGTTCCGTCGTTACCTCACGCAGACCCTTCTGCCGAAGTCCTGTGCCAGCGAAGGTTATGAGGAGGCTTTCTTGCCCCAAAGATTCTTCTGTTGTTAGATAATCCAGTTCTTCGGGGTTGTTTGTGGTCGAATCAACTTTCTCGAACTCCTGGGAGTTATCTTGGCTCACGAGGTCATGGTTTGCGGATTTTAGATCATCTTTGAGCTCAGGAATCGGTTCATCATCTCTCTTTTGTGGGTTTAATTCTTGAATGTCTTCTTGTGGTTTGATCAGAGGATTGTTGTCCTTCTCGATGGTTACAGGAAAAGATTTCAGCTGTGAGATAATGTTCTCCACAGCTTTGGTGTTTATCAAAGAATTTAGGAAAGAATTAGCAACGGAGGCGAGACCTATGGCAGGTCGTGCTACAGTCTCATTGTAACTCGTATTGTTCTTGTGTAAAGGATCATAATGATTCTCTTTGGTCTTGTGGCTGGGGAAGGCTTCTATAGCGTGAGGTTGTCGAGATCCAGAATTATTTATTCTTCGTGACTTGTTGCCTCGAATAAGAGAGGAGGCATCCACCGGCTGGTAGCCCCCCGTGGCGTGCTTCACCGTGCCGCTGGTGATGCGCACCTCAGCAGGGACCACAGAGTTCCACATCTTCTTCAGGATGGTAGGAATGTCACTCTGGGTCGTGTTGTTCTTCTCAATGTGCGGAGGTTCTAAGTGTTCATTCTCTATTTCTTCTTCTTTAATCAAGTGATCTTCGTACTCATCAAGTCCCCGCAAGAGAAGATGGAGACCGTTTCTAGCCTCATCCACCGCGACTTTGAGTGGGTGGAGGACCTTCCTGGCCTCCTTGGTAGCTCCTGATCCTGCATATAGGAAGTACCCACAGAAGGCTACAAGTAAGGCTATACTCGACAAGGCTACGAACTGTCCACCGTTGCTGAGTTCATTCTTCACCTCTGGATGTGTACGAGTCCTTTCCACTGCCATGTTCCTCCATGGTTCTCCATTCCTGTTTACAGGTTGTGGTCGATATCTCAGACGGTCGTCACGAATGACATCCATCACGTGCTCTCTCTTGAACACTTCCGGTATCCTGCCAGCGTTGATCATAGACTGGAGACTCGTCACAGAGGAGGGCACGGTGTTGATCTGGTGAGGTTTGTACTTGGAGTTGATGAAGTCTAAGAGAGGACCTAATTCGTCAGGGTGCAACTCCGACGAGGGAGACATCACTATAGAGTGTTGTGTTGTAGGTTCTTCAGTGTTTCGGAAGTGGACAGGGTTCCCGAACTGGTTCTGAGATGCAGGAGTTGATGTCACCACCACAGGGGCTTTGTTCGGCGGTGCCTGGATTAAAGTAGCTGGACTCCCAACTATGACGTCGTTCATAGGTCCTTCATCGAGAATGATATCTCCTTCGCTGCCTGCTCGGTGTTCGGGCCTCCATGTCTGCTGTGCCTGGACAGGGATTGAGTGACCCACATGAAGCATCAAACTGTCTCCTGAAGTAGGCCGCTGCGGCATGAGGATGTTGGTTATAGCTTCACTAGCCTGTGATTCTAGATCGGGAGTATTAGGTCTCTGGCTGGTAATCAAGACACTGGGATTTGCAGGAACTTGTGGAATAGAATGAGGAGTTTGGATTTGCGAAACGAGAGTGTCTGTGTTTAGACGACTAAGTACTGACTGCACGTCGTTGTTACTGGGCACAAAGCCGTAAGAGGGTGAGATACCTGAGAAAATATCCAGTGGCTGGGGTGAGGTGTTACCATGGTTGATGTTTTTCATCGAGGAGAGTTCTCGCTCATCCGTCTTAGCAGCCTCGAAGATGCTCTGTATGGAGGCGAGAATGTCCTTCCCGTGTGGAGGCGCCTTCGTGGCTGAGTATCTGATTGGTAAAGGTGTTGTTGGTGTTTTTGTTGTTGTTGTTGTCGTAGTTGTTGTCGTCCTGGTGGTGTCCCTCGTGAACGAAGTAGCTCCTGTTTGCCTCGTGATCGGCCTCTCTGAAAACCTTGTTCTCTTTTCCTTCAATATTTCAGTTTGCATATTAGGAGCTCCGGAGGAAGAGGAGTTATGAGTTTTCTTAAAGTGCAAACTGGTCATATCGTGCACAGAAGGGACGTTTGCTTGAGGCGTCTGAGCAGTAGCATAAGGATGTTTTGGAAACAAACCAAAACTGGATTTTCTGTTGGTTGTCTTGGCAGCACCAGAGCTCCTATAACCTGGCTCGGACTGAGAGGCTGCTGGTCTTTGTGGGCTGTTGCTCGGGTCTTCAATCTTGCCTGATAGTTCTGTAGTAACTCTTTCGTCGGATGTGGCATTTTGAGCCTTGGTCTGGCTCCGGCTGTAAGAATTATGCCACCCAGACAAAAAATCATTTGGCTGAGAGGTCGATGATGACAAGAGGTCAGCGTTGTTCTTCAAGGGAACTCTGTTGCGGAGGACACCGGGGGCGTTCATCCACTGACTGAAACTCGTGAGAGACTCAGAGCCGACAGGGCGTCTCCTATGGCTAGCCACTGATGACCCTCCGGCCCCCAGCCTCGCCATTCCAGGACGCACACGACGGTTACCCAGGCCAAAGCCTCCCATACCTTGTCTTCTCGACCCCGCTCTCCTTCCCTGCATCTGTTGTCTGAATCTATGCATGAGAGCCCCGGTCCGGTTGAAGGGGTGAAGATATTTTCCTGGCGTGCCTATAAAAGGTCTCTGACGGAGTGCTGCTGGCGTGGGCATCGGGTCTTCCGCCACATTGTTAGTGGATATGACGGGGGCATCCTTGTTGCTGTTCTTCCTCCCTGGGGAAGTAGAAGTGGGGATCTGCTGGGGGGGCGGTAGCGTAGGCTCCACTAGGACAGACTGAGGCTCTTGGGGGCTGTGAACGCCGGCGTAGAAACGCACGGGAGGGCGTAACAGAGAGAACTCCCCAGCGTCCGTTGACCCCACCGCCACCACCACTGTCACCATCATCAGCAACATCTGAAACACAAACTACACGTTAGTAACACAACACATCACACTAGACTCCTTGAACACACACACACACACACACACACACACACACACACACACTAATAAAACAAGGTAGTTGGTGGATGCCTTTAAGCGTGGGGATGACCTTCACTGATGACCTCAGACCTTGACCCTTCACCCACACTGACCAAATTTGGAGGCGGCGATCGTACTAACAGACAGACAGACATTCGAAAAACAGACAGATAGACAAATCAATTAGTATTCTTGGCAATTATCGTTTTCTCTGAGTAAAAAAAAAAACGATGGATATATAATGAAAATTTTTCCTCTACAATGCATTACTCTCTCTCTCTCTTCTCTCACCACACGTATAACTGTTAAGTGGTCAGACAGACTACATTTTGTTAATTACGTTGGTTATTATTCCTGTTACGAGGTCATCTACTTAAGCAACGTGCGTGTCTGTCTGTGGTATATCGTTACTGCTACTTTGAGAGAGAGAGAGAGAGAGAGAGAGAGAGACGACGAGAGTAAAATAGAGTAAGAGATAACAAAGTGAATGAGAGAGGAGGGATGGAAGAGAGAGAAATTAATAAATGGAAGGAGACAGAAAGGAATGAAGAAAAAGAGTGGAAAGGGGGAAAATTAAAAATAGTTAGAGAGAGAATAATTGCCATTGTAGAAGACAGATAGATGTGAAGATAAAAATAAGACGAAGACTGTCATCACCAGCTTAACACAGCGACTCCGGTGAAGCTAACAGGATCGACCAATGGCGAGTGAGTATAACCGAGTTACCTGCTGGAGATATATAATTAGTTGGACTCACCTGTGCGTACCGTTGTTCGGGTAACAGTTCTGTTTATTGCCTCTGTTAACAGGTAATGATGGAACTGTCGGATTGTGTGAATCTATTGTGTGTGTTTTCCAGGGTTGAGTTTAGCTTTCTAGACATAGCAAAGTCTGCTATGTAGTTTTCTGTGTGTAGCGGAAACTGCTATATAAAGTGTATGTAGCGATGTTTGCTATATAATGTGTGTGTGTATTGTAGGGAATTTTGTTGTGTGTGTAGTAATCACTTTATACCATCTACATATCTACCTAAAAGTAGCGTTTGGATCCTGAGTGGTCATTGGTGTACGTCAACCACTAGGGCGTGACGTCACAACACTAGAGCCAATTACAAATGTGACGTGGCAGCTTGTGAATGGCTAATCAAGCTCAGATAACAATGTGACGTGGCAGCTTGTGAATGGCTAATCAAGCTCAGATAACAAGAAATAAACGAAATGATATATATACTGTAATTGTTTATTTGCTTTGTTTATTTACTTATAATTACACAACTTACAAAAGAAATGTGTAATATATAAGGAAAATAATTATATTGTACGTAAGAGTTGTATTAGTGGTTGTGTTTACATTATAAGATTGAGGATCAGTACTGTCTGTCAGTGGCTGTGTTGAGGCTCTGATCATGGTAGACTACACCAGTGATCTCGTTGACCTATATGACCCCTTGGTATGTCAGCTCTAGGGGTTGTTATGGTGCACGTACATGACGAAGATAAAGATTGTAGGTGTAGCTGTATGCACACACACACACACACACACACAGTAACGGGCTTGGCACAAACAACAGTATAGTCAACAGACCCGGTCACCTCTACTGTCAACACCTTGTTCCCACACCTATCACGGCGACACGTTACCTGCTTGGTCTAGCTTACCTACTGCTACTGGTGCGTGACGTAGAGAGAGAGAGAGAGAGAGAGAGAGAGAGAGAGAGAGAGAGAGAGAAAATAATCAGATAGACGTGATGATAAACATGTTAGACAAAGAGACAACTAGATAGATAGATAGATAGATAGATAGATAGATAGATAGATGATAATAAATATATTTGCGTGTGTGTGTGTGTGTGTGTGTGTGTGTGTGTGTGTGTGTGTGTGTGTGTTTTCATTCACAGTTGTACTTCATATTTCTAACGGACCAAGACTCACCTCCCAGCTAGACTAATAACGACTCACTTAGGAAAATGTTAAAGATGTCACGTTATGTGGTCACGGGTAAAACTGTTCTTAATGTTATCAATTACCTGTGACTCAGTGATGGGAAGAGTTTAGGTTAATAATTGATGGACAGTGAAAGACAGAAATCGTATTACACTTTCCACGACTTATGTTCTGGAACCCATGACGAAGAATTTTGGCCAAAGTTCCTCGTTTAGAGTCGAATCCGGAAGCTTCACTGTCATTTTACCTAATTTCTTCGTCATGGGTTTCAGAACATAAGTGTAACACGACTTTTTCTTTGACTGTGCTTATTGGTACAGTCAGTGAAAGGTGTGTCTATACTAACTGTAATTTCCCCAGTCTAGATGTGGCAGGGTCGCAGTGGGAGATGAGTGGGGATTCGATTAATGTCTCATGGATCGTCCTTCGAGTCATCTCTTGTAGTTGCGGTCGTATATGGTTATGATTTTATGGATCTTAACTGGGGATATTACAGGGGGATAGAAGCACCTTTCCCTGACTTTACTATGGGTAGATTATTATTATTATTATTATTATTATTATTATTATTATTATTATTATTATTATTATTATTATTATTATTATTATTATTATTATTATTGTTGTTGTTGTTGTTGTTATTATTATTATTATTATTGTTGTTGTTGTTGTTTTTGTTGTTATAATTACAGAAAGACTTACCACCATTGCTTCAGGTATCAATCTCTCGGTTCAGTCACTATTACGCGTCACGAATGCAAGCTATCAAATGTCACCAAAAAGTATGAACAGCAAGAATCACTAAACGTCACTAGATCGAAGTACCAAAAGTCACAAATACGAATCTCATAGTCACCAAGACAGATCACATTCGCTAAAATGAATCACTCGCACAGATCACCACAATGTCGTGTCAACAAGAGTACCAGTTCTCTATAATATATCCAACTCAGTCTCGAGACACAACAGCGTCCAGCACCCTTCTATCACCTTCAGGTTCTAGAGTTCAAAGCACACTCCAGAATCAGATGAACGTCGGTCTCCTGCCGCGTCGCCCGCAGCAATGTGGGACTGTAACACAAGTCTGGAGGGCTGAAAAGACGGGGGGGGGGGGGGGGGGGGTGGGGTAGGGTGGTGTGGGGTGGGGTGGGGTGGGGTGGAGAAAGGGGCGGGGCGTGGGCGTGGGAGTGGTTGTAGTAGTAGGTTTCCCAGAGCCGCTAGTGAGGGATGATGGGTCCCAGTGATCTATTAAACTAACCAGGTATTACTGGGTCGTGAGGTGTTCCCAGTAGCAGTTACTGGTTCCTCGGGTGTTCCTCATTACTTTGTGTGGTACTTTGGAGGGCGTGTATGTGCAGTAGTTCTTTGTTCCAGGAGAGGAATGTTCGGTTTTTCTGGTCTAATAAACAATTCAGGTATCACTGAGTTGTGTGGCGTTCTTGAGAGGCCGTAGTTGGTTGGTCTGTGTGCTTGTTGAAGGCGACTCGGTTGATGTGTGACCTTCAGCAACTTTACATCCCTGCTGAGGGGAAGATTGTGCTTGTGGTCACTTAACCAAGTATTAGTCAGTAGTGAAGTATTCGTTGTGTTGTAGGTGAACACTGCAGTAGCAAGTTTTTTCATCTAGTGGGGCTCTCATAAATCCTGATGTCCTCTGTTATTCGTAGTATTAGAAGGTCGCGAACGTCTACACACTATACAGGAACACCAATGGTCTATAAGACACAGCTTACAAAAAACAAACGACAACACGGTATTTAGAAACACCTTCTTTTCAAGAACACCAAAGCCCAAAAATTTTAAATCCTTGAAACAAATGATTTTTGTTTTCATTAAATATGAAACATGGGCTTTTGACAAAGTCAGTGACTTATGACTTATACTCAAACTCACTTTTCAAACTCACTAAAGTCCCTAAGATGTTATTAATCACATACAAAAGGTGGTTCCTTTAAATGCCTATGAAATTGCCAAATCACCACACGTAGAAAACAGTGAAACCCACTTTGCACAAACGTCGAAACTCTCGCGTTCTCAATCCTTCGACAGCAAATCGCTCTGTCCAAGGTTACTTCTTATCTCTCAACGGTGTATGTCCTCCTCCTTCCGTTCCTCAACCTACGTCAGGAGTAACAACACAGCGATAGAGGCTGACGGTGGAGGCAAGACCAACACCTCCTCCTCCTCCTCCTCCTCCTCCTCCTCCCCTTCCCTCGGCTCCCCCTCCATCACCCTCTCCCTAAACAACGCACCACAACACGGGACGCAGCAGCTGTGGCTGACGTGGCGGGAACTACACCGCTAACTGTATTAAGGTCCTCGCCTTCACGACTCCTCCTCTACCTTTTAGGGTCTGTGGTGGCGTGTTGCTGGGGGTAGTGTGTGTGTCTGGGGGTAGTGTGTGTGTCTGGGGGTAGTGTGTGTGTCTGGGGGCAGTGTGTGTGTCTGGGGCAGTGTGTGTGTCTGGGGGCAGTGTGTGTGTCTGGGGATAGTGTGTGTGTGTTAGTGTGTGTGTCTGGGGCAGTGTGTGTGTCTGGGGGGCAGTGTGTGTGTCTGGGGTGTGTCTGGGGGTAGTGTGTGTGTCTGGGGTAGTGTGTATGTCTGGGGGCAGTGTGTGTGTCTGGGGGGTGTGTGTGTCTTAGTGTGTGTGTCTGGGGGCAGTGTGTGTGTCTGGGGGTAGTGTGTGTGTCTGGGGGCAGTGTGTGTGTGTCTGGGGGGTGGTGTGTCTGGGGGTGTGTGTCTGTGTGTGTGTCTGGGGTAGTGTGTGTCTGGGGGGGGTACCTGGGGGGTAGTGTGTCTGGGGTAGTGTGTGTGTCTGGGGTAGTGTGTGTGTCTGGGGTAGTGTGTGTCTGGGGTAGTGTGTGTGTCTGGGGTGTGTGTGTCTGGGGGGTGGTGTGTGTATGGGAAGGACATAATATATTAACTTAAGTCTCTCTCTCTCTCCAGTCCGTGCAGGCATTACCCACATACGCGTGGATCCTACCCAGGCCAAGGCACACATCCTGACTACCTCTTGGATCACTATTTACCTTCTCGTCCAAGTCTCTTAAATCAACTCGCCACTGTGGTCACTTCCCTCACGACCTGCAGCCAGTTTTATTGCAGTTATTCTATGCTACCTTGTGTTCTCTAAGTATTATATAACGCCTTAAGTATTGTAAGTATTCTATAGGACTTTATTTAATACTTCAGGAGGTCGCGCTTCTATTGGTGTATTGTTGTTGTTTTCGACCAATTGAGGCCACGTGGTGGATGACGTCATTGATGAGATACGTTTTGATATTGTTTTGTTTTGTTATTCCATTCTCCTGTTGTTGTTGCTTTTGTTTTATTTCTCTCTCTCTCTTCCCCATCCCATCGTGGAGGTGAGAAACACTGAGTACCTTAGTTCGACTCCCGTGATACAGTTACCTCGGTGTCTGGTGGATGAAATCGATTCTTTCTGAAGTTTATACATTTTCTTCTTTCTTTTTTTTCTCTTGCGTGGAATGATAAAAATACCGTATGTACAAGAAGGCAAGAATCTATTTTTTTTAATGTAGAGGAAAAAATCTGACTTATTTTTAATTAGAGACAAATATCTGGCTTTTGTTTAATGATTTGAAAATAAAGTATAAACTATGAACTGTGTGAGATGGAAATATTCCCTCTAGGTAGAACCAATGTTTATACATTTCATAGTGTTTACCTCTACTGTTAAACTGAGGCGGAGGAACACCGATGACGTGTAGTTAGAGACAAAATACCGTTGTTGTTTATTATTATTTCAGCCTTAACGTTCAGTAGTAAAAATGGTATATGATAGTTTTGCTCTTAGATTACGATGCCATGTCTCTTAAAAGACAGTCAGACAGAGAGGCAGAGAGAACGTCTTGATAAGCAGTAACACACTGACCATCTTCCCACTAGTACAGGAGTGAGCTGTAGTCCCCAGGTTCCCCTACACAGAAGCGTCACACCAGCTGGGTCGTGCCTGCGTTAACGTGATATATTACAGTTCCCAGCGGTGTACATATGTCTGTGTGTTGTCTGCCTGGCCAGCGTCACCCTAGTACTAGTTAAATTTAAAGACTAATTAAATGAAAAGGTTAGTTAGTTCTTAGATGTTATAACTGTGTTTATAATAGAACAAACCTGAAATTTATACATACAGTGTATATATATATATATATATATATATATATATATATATATATATATATATATATATATATATATATATATATATATATATATATATATATATATATATAAAGTTCAGAATTGTTCTATTATAAATACAGTGATAACAAATTGATCTAAATATCAACAAATATGCGTGTACCTCGGGGTACACGCACATTTGTCAAACCCCCGCGGCCGTGTGAGCTTTATGTGTGTATGAGCCACACAAAGATGATGTGGGGTGAGCAGGTTCCTCGTGAAACACCCGTACCAATGGTACCCCGCTACTTTTACACCTCCGTGTGTAGTGCAGGCGGTACTGTAAGTTATTTAATGTTTTAGGTGTCATGATGACCAGACATAATTGTCTAAGCGTTACCAAATGAATGTCTTGTTTAATTATTACATTATATACAGTATTAGTGAAGCTGATAAATAGCGAAATAAATGTAAACTAAAAGAGCACGAAAGAATGAAAAGTAGACTTAACAAAATACCGGTACATTATAAAGATAACAGTGACATTCTGTAGTGCGGTGTTTCAGAGACCAGACAGACACGCACTCATCACATTTAAAAAAAAAATTACTCCTAACACAGTTCTGTATTTCAGTACAGTTACATCGTATACATGAGGTAAGATAGTCTGGTCGCCATCATTACAGTGACTTATCTTATTGGTCAACAGGTAACGCTGGACCCTAATAGAATCACCATTAAGCGCTGTGACTCGTACATTTCCCCGTTATTATGTCATAATCCATCTGAGGGCGGTGAAAAAGTCTCCTCGGTACCGTTCGCCGGATGAAGACGAGGAAGAATCCACTCAGTTAAAGAGTAAACAAAAGTGGTGTGAGACTTACTGATATAATCGCTGGATATTTGTTGTTGACTCAGTAAGTATTGATATAAGAAACCGCTGATATAGTGATTTATTGATATAACAGAAGGGCTGAATATATACTTGGTCTTATAACTTGGTATAAAAAATGAGTTAGAGTTTGGAGAGAGACGTGACTGGAAAACTTAAAATATACTGAATGACGTGTGTGTGTGTGTGTGTGTGTGTGTGTTTTAAGACAGTTAAGGGCTGGACTGGAGAAGTGTGTCATGATAGGATAGATGGTATTAAGTTGACTAGACAAACGTTGACGTCATTCTTCCCTCCGTTATTCCTTCCTTCCTTCCTTCCTTCCTTCCTTCCTTCCTTCCTTCCTCCTTCCTTCCTTCCTTCCTTCCTTTCTACTCACCGAACTCCACTTTATACAACATAATAACAAACCCTCCCATCATCCACCACCATCCTCCACCACCACAACCACCACCCTTCTACCAGCCCCCTCCACCACCACCCTCCACCACCACAACCACCACCCTTCTACCACCCCTCCACCACCACAATCACCAATTCTTCTACCACCCCCCCCACCACTCCTCCTACCTCCTTCCACCCCCACCACCACCCTCTACCACTACCACCATGTTACTACCCCCTAACCACCCCCCCTCAAATAGCTGATCGTTCCCAAAACACACCAGCTGTCTCCCCCAACACCACCTGTCGTCAATGTAAATCACCCGTGACCCTCGTTAAGAATCACTCCTTCATAACGACCCACTGCCACACCTTACCTGACTAAATAATTGGCTGCGGCTGTCAGGTAGGTGCCGCAAGTCGAACCTAGGAGATGCCGCAGAAGAGCCATATGTTGCGTCCAAGTGGTGGGGTACGGTCAGCTTGTTATAGGGTAGTGGTGTTGAAGGTCAGTAGGTCTCTCTACCTGTCTCTATAAATCTCTCTACCGGTCTCTTATTCACCTGTCTATTTATTCATCTATTTATTCATTTATTCAATATCTTTTCATATTTATCAAGTTAATCATCTCTCTCTTTCTTTCTCTCACCACTTACGTTACTCAATTAAAATCCCATCAGTCCAATTCATACCCGTATAATCATCACCGCCAAGGAATCCGTTCACAGTCACTAGAATCCACCACTGTTCACAACCTCTAGGAACCCTCACAGATAACGTCGGCGTGATCGTGTGTAATATCCGTAACAGAATCATCAACAGTTACACAACACGAACCGCTAAAGCAGATTAAAAATTGTATTACAGACGATGGGAGATTTTTACCGTGTGGGAATCTTAGCTGAGTCGTGTTTGGGGCGCCAAGTGTTGTTCTCACTGATGGTCGCTCAAACGTGTTCGCTGTCCTCTCGTGTTTACTGTTATTTTCACTCACAAATTACAGTTGTTATTGTTTTGAAATCTATTTGAGTTATTTTTACGGTGTTAACTTTATTATTATTATTATTATTATTATTATTATTATTATTATTATTATTATTGTTATTATTATTATTATTATTATTATTATTATTATTATTATTATTATTATTATTATTATTATTATTATAAGCTGCTGTTTCTTGTGGTTGTGAATAAAATTATCAATTATTAATATTTCCAAGGTCAACAATTTAAATAATAATAATAATAATAATAATAATAATAATAATAATAATAATAATAATAATAATAATAATTCAGAACAGAAAAGGGGGATAAAAGACAAACAAAAGTAATCAATAAAAGTCATAAAAAGAAGAAATAAGAAAGTAAATTCGATAAAGATAGAGGTGTTTAGTAAAGATGATGAAGGAAGAAAAAACAAGATGTATAAAAGACGAGACGGAGTAAATGAATAAATATGCGAGGTAAAAGAAAATAAACATCGAGAAAACACAAAGAAACTGAATAACAGTAAGTAGCGAAAAACAGCGACAAACAGCGACAGGAAGAGGCAATGAAGACAAGAACTGAAAGAAACTGCGATTATACACAAGTTTCTGCAAGAAGTCTCTCTCTCTCTCTCTCTCTCTCAGATTTATGTAGAAAATAAAAGATATGTTATATATTTTTACCCAAATTTACATAATGTCCCGATTACGATAAGTTTTCTCTGCTAAGTTATTTTATATTAATTTTAACAAATGTCCTTTGCATTACAAATTACCCCTGACTGATGTCCCAATTATAATAAGCCTTCCTACATTATAACCCCGATAGTTTAAGCTTTCTGGTTTAATGTCCCAATTATGGTTAGTTTCCTTGTTGTTTTTTTCGGTTCCTTGTCTTACGATCTTTTTCTTATTATTATTCTATTTATCGATTTGTTTTACTAACTGGAGGCCTTCTTCCCTAGGTATAAACATGTTTGGTATAGTTAGGTGCTAAATAGTATGCGTTTTCTTTTATGAATATTTGACGTTTTCTGTGTTACTATTTCTCAGGTAAACTGTGCTAGAAGAGAGCATACTGACTACCGTTTGATAATGGCTTTTCACGTTGGACAGTGTTATTGTTTATTACCCTTGGCCTAGAATATGGGGAATTTATTTTTACTAGATTTCCAAGTGCAGAGAACGAGAAAATTAACTACCTAGTGAGAAAATAAAAATCAACCTAAGCAAGCCAGCTTTTTATATTGTTTTTTCTATACATATAAGTTGAGTGCCCCAAAAATGTGAGGGGCCCTGTTCGGTGCACACTTTGAGAACCCCCTAAAGCCGGCACTACTGGAGATCCTGGGAAAGTTTCATCAAAATGGCTATGTCTGGTAGATTCGTATCGTTTTTTCTGAAGAAGAAGAACTAAAAAACGTTTTTTATCAGCCTTATTCTCTACTTGATTACAGCCACGTCTTGATGTATACTTTAATTTCGGAGTAAATCAGATTAACTAGACGAAAAACTTTACTAAATACTTGGAATAAGTTGACAATCGGGTGCATTAGCAGATAAAGTACAGTCTTTCCCGCGGTGCCCACCGTTTCTCTGTGGATGTCAGTCACACTAGAATAACCTTCTTCTGTGTTTTCATACTCATACGATCTGTCTCACTTCAAAAAACTGGTTTTGCGGCATCTTCGTGTAGATTAATAAAAAATTATTTTTTATTTTTTTTTTGTACTCTTATTTTTTCGACCCCCAGGCCCCGTTGTGGGCCATACACGCTTGTACTCCACAAACAGTAACATAAACAGCGAGATTCATGAGCATTGTCGGGTGAACGATGTGGCAGTTTCTTTTTATTACAAACGATTGAATCTTTACTAAATGAGGAGTATTGTACAGCGGAGAGTTACTCAATTACTATTTATGATGATCTTGTCACACAAATTTCCTAGTTGGCAAAGGTCCGGATGAATGGCTTCATTTAAAGTAACGTAAACATGTGGCTTATATTATGTTAAATAAAATAAGTGAAACAATAGGCAATTAAAAATACTGTACTACAAAGCTAATGATCTCTGCGGTCCACCGATTGAGATGGTCTGGTACACCGGTTCACTCGACAAGCTGAAGTGCAGCCAGTTCAGCAGTTGTGTCTACCAGATAAATTGAAAAGAGAGAAGCTACAAAAATTAATCTGGTTTAGAGTCCTTGAGGGTCCTAGCGCAGAGTGGAGGACGACACCAGACTCTGTTAACTGTTTGTATTATAACGCTGTTCTTTTGGTACTGGAGTCAGTGCCCTGCCTCGACTGTCAGGGCATGGCATTCTTCAGGGGCAGAGTTTTGCCTTTGAAGCACGAACACCAATCACAAGGAGAGAGGCGGGTACTAGTGTTTGACTTCGTGACGTGAGACAGAAAGACATCCAATACGTTATTTACATCGAAACGGAAATCGAATAAGGAAGCTCTGCTGGGGAGGTGAATGAAGTTTCCGTTCTGTTGGTCGAGCACTTTTATTAATACTGTGTAAATAGTTGTATCTTCCTGAACACACAGAGTAAGTAAAGGACGAACATTTCCAGTGTTAATTCTGGACTTGATGACTTTTGGATCATTTGTACGGTGTGTAAGTTTACAGACGAGGAAGGTAAAGGTTATCGAACTCCTTTTCCCAGTCAACATCAGTCGGATCGAATTAACTTCCTGAATCCACGATCACCTCAACTAATGATTTACAGCAACTAGACACCGACGTCAACAAACACACTTAATAAATCACAAGACTCGTCAGTTATTTTTAATCTACCGTTTGCAATTTCCTTTTTCCATGTAAGGTAATTAAGAAAAAAGAACGGTAGAAAAGAAAAGGTAAACATCTAGTCAAGCGAGCGTCCATGTTGACAGACCAGAAAGACAAAAAAATATTCGTCTCCATGGAAATCACGTTTTTTTCTTCACCATCTCAGTATATTTTTCCTCCCGGTATTTTCCCTCCTTTTTCTCTCTCTCGTTATTCCAGCTGGTAATAAAAACACAGTATAAGGTACCATACGGGAGACACAAACAGTCCTTGCCCTGGCGTGACGTGTGTGGTGTCTCCGTCAGAATGTCTCCGTCAGATGTCGTGTGCGTTGACAGTAATGAGTCCAACAAAATATTCCTCTTGATGCTGCGACATTTTTTTTTTCTTTGCGGTGAATTACAGTGTATGTGTGTGGGGGGTGGGGAGGTAGTTCTGGTGATGGTAAGTTCTTAAAAGTTAGTGTATATGTACGGTTAATATTTTTTTTTTTTTTCTGAGTATGCCTTTCTATCTAGCTATCTATCTCTATCTACCTATCTATTTATCTATCTGAGCCTTTGATACATAAATAAGTAGTATAGCTGGAACTACATTCATCTGCTTTCGTTTCCCTACTTGTAATGTCAGGTACCCATTCACTGTTGGGTTGTACTATGGGTGTCCGCGGGATCAAACCAGCTACCAATCGGAAAGGAGTTGAGCGCTGTGTCGATATTTCCTACAAACCCCTAAGAAAGATATTCCATCTTAAACGTTGTTCATCATAAGTCTGGTGGTAGAAAAAAGAATACGCTAACCATCCAACAAACAAGACGAGCGCATTGTTCTATACTTGAGTTTATTACTGAACGAAAAAATAAAGATTCACGGGTGGTACATATTTTCCAGAGTATATTATGTACTGTAGCTGCGGGGCTGTGTGACCAAATTAGAGAACTCAGAATACTAATAGCTGCCAGAAACTGATTTTACGTTACATAAATATACGTTTACGTTTTTTTTATTGCCCATGGTACTCAATTTGTTCGGCCACACTCTAATAACTGTAATTCTAAATATTGAACTAAATGTAGGAATACGATTTGTTTGTTTTTCTCACTTTTGTCAGCCCCATACCGTTACACTTTAGTCTTCCTGAACTAAAGGAAAATATATCTTTGGTTTATTCCTGTCACTTCACACATTACGACTGATAGTAAGTGTATGTAAACAAAATTGGACCAAGTAAACCTTCAAGAACGCCAAGTCGACAGTTTGTTTTAATCATGACGTTGGTTGTTGTGGCCATGGCATTGGTTTAATTGTCAGGCTCTCAAACTCAAGAGCTCACAGCAATATGTCTATTTTCGCGATTAAGACTGTCGGACAGTTTCCTTTTGTTCTTCATTGTACTGTAATATATACCAAGCTTTTTGAAATAACATACTGCAATTCCTATTAATTATAAACAGTTGGCTTTGGCCTTAAAACGTGATATGTAGACATTGAGCACGAGAGCCAAGGGAAGCTCAGGAGGTGGGAGGTGGGTGGTGCGGACAGACAATCCCAAGTGAAGACGAGAGGTGAGGGAACCGGTGGTGTTGGCAGGCAATCCTGGCCATGGACCCGCCCTGCACCCTGACTCAGTCTACCCCGATCCTCGCAGACGAGCACAACGATCGTACTGTCTCTCTCTTGTGATAGTTGGTGTGCGACACTACGAGCACGACCCCTTGTGTTAGTGTGGTCAAACGACGCTGTAGTAGTCAGAAGACAGAATAGAGACATAACTGTCGTTCATTGTTGTGGACACGACACCACAACTATGAGGGTCGTTTATCACTAATCTTGTTCTTCTCATGTTATAAAATATCTTTTGTCATCCACCATGTGCATCTTTATTTCGGAAAAAGGCGACTTTTAAAGCGAATTTCTGCACAATTTCATAAATACAATGAATAGTTTCCATGTATGATATATCATACATAATGAATACTTGTGGTTAGTGAACGAATAGTCAATATATCTTAGAATTTTTCGTTCGATTTCAGTCTGTTTCATTTTCTTCCACCTTATTGGGCCTTAGTTTTAAATTAATTTACATATTTAACAGATACTCTCTTCTAGATCATCAGTCAACAGCCAGAACACAGCTGTCATTGACAACTGGCTGACAGTGACAGCAGGGAACATCCACCACCACAGCAAACAGCAGGAAGGAGAGAACAATCAGGGCACTACAGCAGAATGGGCTGGTCATCGTTGGCCACTGGAAGAACCATGATCATCTGCCTATCAGTAGGACATACGCTTAATTGTTTTTGGCTAGTGACGCGACCTTAGTTAAGTTTGTGATCTTGCTAATAAGTAATGTACAAATTGGATTTTTAATCAATTTATATCATAGTTATCACGTATGTGGTGTTCGTAAATGATAGATACAATGCAATAGAATTTTAGTTGTGCCTTCAGAAACATAGGATTAACCCTCCCCGTCTCTCCTCATTTGTTAGGTCAACAGAGTTTTGATTGAATATTTTGTTTTCGTGACTAATCCACAGTAATACCTTTTTCTGCCATCTGTGAATACAGTGTACCTCAGTTGTGCTTCTCTGACGCCACAGGTATTGGCGACGGCAGCTGCGACGCAGATAGACACTGATGGAGCGCAACTCTCCGGAGCTGTGTATCCCAGTGACTCTCTCAAAGGACCAGACCTTCTACAGGAAAGTCCTCGCAATACTGTGTACACCGCAGACCCAATGACAGGCTTCATGACCCTCTCCGCCATCGTCCTGATTGCCCTGGTGGCCTGGCTCGTCTTCAACCTCAATGAGAACCCTCTCACAGGGCTCATCCAGTCGAGGGCGCTAAAGGAGACTCTAACAGGGATGTCCCTGGACACCACCGTTGCTGTGTTGGAGTGTCTGAGAAGAGAGGAGGCGAAGCTGTCTTGCCTCGTCTGCGTTGCGTCGACCATAGATTCAGACACCTGTTGGTAGAGGAGGCACCTGTGTACTCATGTGTGTTCTCACCTCAACACCTGTTTATTACACGCATCATCGCTTAAGAATGTTATTTGGATCTATACTTACAACATTACCTGTTTTCCTTCGCCCCTTACTTGTTTGTTTCCATTTCTATCCGGTGACAGAGTGAGCGTAGTTATGGGCGGTCATCAGCAAGGGTGACTAGTCAGGTCTCTCCGTGCTCATATCATTTTTTTATTAATATCACTGCTCTTGTTTAACATCTAATACATAAAATTTGATATTCGAGTTTTCAAATTTATGGATCATTTTCTTCAATTAACATGTTTATTCTCATATTAACATGTATTTTATCTTGTTAACATGTATATTATCAAGTCAACATGTATATTATCATGTTAATATATATATTTCCCCCTGCTCAACAGTCTTACACGGTCCATAATGTTCTCATACACAAAGGCTCACTATTGACCACTTATAGTCTCTGGTCTGACTTGTAATGTCTTATATCTAACATATGTATCATCGTGTGTTTCTGTAGGACACATGAGTCTTAATGTATCATCTCTTGTTAAATTTTCTTCATCGTGTTAACACTGTAGTTCTCTCTACCTCTTATATACAGAAAGATGATGGCGTTAAATATTTGTTATTCTGTACAGTAGTTATTTATAATTTAACTTTATTTTTGCATATTCTTATATTTATATTGTTTTTGTTTCAAGAAATTTTATATATTTTATCTATATGATTATTATTAATTAGAATCAAGATGGTATTTATAATTGATGTATTCATTGGGCATTTACTAGTAATAAATACAAAAATAAATGTGTATATATTTGTCTAACAATTAATGTGTACAGGTATTAATTTGTTCACCTATTTATAGTACAAAAATATCTTATGTTTGTTAGGGGTGATGTATATATTTTTTAACCCAGGGTAAAGATGATGAATATATTTCAAAATTATATAAATTATTTTACAAAACAACCACCTTATTATTACATGACAAACTATATCTTACCCAAATTCTCAATAATTACGAATTATTGAAACTTCATCCCAACCAAACTGCAAGAAACGGTGTATAATGAAAAATATCAAAGTTTATCTTAAAACGGATGAAATATATAACCGTTTTTTGTTATACTTGTTTTGCCTCGTGCTCTTCGAAGGGCAGCATATACTATAATAACCTTAATAATAATACAGTAGTTTCAAGTGGATAGAAATAACAGTAATACCATATGTAAAGAACAAGAAATTATCCCATCAGGAGAGTTATATCTCATATTGTTTAATTGCTCATGACAAGAATAATTACTAAATTGATTAGGTACTGAAAGACCTTAGTTGTTGGATCCCAGGATTAACAATATAACGTAAACTGTACTAATCTATTACACAGACTATATATTAGACATGGTAATCAATACAGTGCGGCATAAAATCAGCGTGTGTAATGCAGATAAGTGACGCAATATAATGTTATAATAACACCAATAAGACAAGTGAAGTAGTGTAGTGAAGCAGTGTAATGATACTCGTAAGTGTGCAGTGTGTGTTCTTGCATACATAATTGTTTAGTAAAAAAAATATTCATGAGCGAACAGCTTGGATAACGGTGTTTGTAATTGTAAATGTATTCAGTTGATGCTTGATGGCAACAGTTAGTGGGCTCGTAGTGTGATGGAGAGACGAACAGTGTCAGTATGGTAAAATAGCTACTGTACTTCGTTGTGTATACAGCAGACAATAATTAGTCTGTATTTTCCATCACGGTGAATATTTACCCGTGGTGTGTAATCTTAAAAGCTGAATTACTTGCAGTCACTCTGTTCAACGGTGTAAATAAACCTGCTAGTTGAAGTAACACGAGCAAGAAACTTGGAAAAAAAAATATGATTTAAGAATTCCCAGACTACCGTTGAGGAACACCAACGACGAGGTACAAGAGGAGCTTTATACACAGCCTGACAGGAAGGTTAGTCACCCCTTTACTATTGATAATGAACTCATATTAAAACGGTTTATTTAGCCAGAAAAAATACAGACACAAGGTGAACACTAAGAACAATATTGCCACGGGTGAAACAAGTGAGGCCTCAGTACCTATCTCTTCGTGGCACCTCTCGTTTTTTTCCGATTTATTTGTTTCTTCCAAAATTACGTTATCGAATTAGTGTCCATATTCTTTACAGTGTGTTGTTTAGCTTAAGCATTAATTAAGAATAGTGAATGAGGCTTCCAAATCGTGAATACTAAAATGAATTCAAACATAAACGATAACTGTCCTAACTGATTAAATGAATTTGAAACATATTTTGGGGTTTTCTGTCATCGTGTCTGAATGATTCTTACTGAGTGTTCTGATTGTTTTCTTTTTAACTAGGACGTGGGAGTTACGATCATCACTGCTGGTATAGACTGATAAATGTTTGACGGATCTTTCTGTACAGTATGTTATTATGGTATGGAGGAGGGATCGTCTGGTGCTGTTTAGTGATCATATTAACCCAGTTACTTACATTTCGAGCATCTGACTCTTAACTACATAATTGTTCATACTTTTAGTTCACTACGTAATCAACTAAACGTGTTTTTAGGTGATGTGCTCGTATGACATTTAAAAACTTATTTCGTTGGGCTTTTTTTATCAAAATGTTTCCAATCTTTATTCATTTTGTTTATTTATTGCGTTGAAAGTGTTGGAACTGGTTAAGTTGTTGGTTCAAGACACTGAATAAATAGTTTCATCGTTTAATAGCTGTTATGACCGCAAATAAGAGATCCATTGTGTGAAAACTGAACTGTCTTTTAATAAGAAATAATATTGCATTAGATAACATACAGATAACTTGGTAATAAATGCAGAGATGATACCGAAGTAAATACAATAATAGTGCATCACAAACATTCACACTTGGTCCACATAAACCCCGTGAGACTGACTGGTCAACACCGAGTGACTCAACCTGGGGGGTCGTATGTCTGCAGTAGCTTGTGAGGATTCCGTTTGCCCTTGCTTTAGTCTCTACGTTCATGATTATTATAGCAAAATGACACCGTCAGTTTTTGTAAATAATCATAGTAAAAATATTAGATTAGATCAATTGATTATAAACCTCAATACAGGCAACGGGTCGTAAAGCCAGGAGGACAGATGACCGTACAAGGAGCGACCTCTGTTAACCTCCCACCGGGGCGAGGTGCTGGGTGCTCTCTTCCTCCTCCTCCGCCTCCAGCACAAGTAGCGGGCTCCTACACTACGGGCCTTTCTACCTGCGTCACGCCTCTCTATTGACCTTGTTACAACTAATACTAGATCCCAGTTGTGTTGTATTTGTGGACATCGACCTATACGAGTTTGTGTAGTGTATCCATATTTATCTCAAAATTGTAACTTTTTAATAGGCCTACTTATCACAGAGATGAATTTTATTGCATTTACTTAAGGGTTGATGGTTGGCTGAATTGCTTTATGATTTGTCTGTTTGCAGTTTTTATTATTAGTATTAGTATTATATTTAGACCAAACTAAGGAGTTAAAGTGGAAATTTTGCCGTCGGTCTTCCGAGGAAGTTCGATAAGTTGTCAACAAAGTAGAATAAAACTTGTTAGATGTTCTTCTCATCTCTATCCTGTTGTTTCTCTCTCCCTCACACTATGTTATTCTTTCCCACTATCATCCTTCCAACACACATCCCTTTCGCCACTCTTCCTCCCATCTTAAATCATTCTTCAAACTTTCCCTTCCACTGTATATCATCACCCCACTCTCCTTACCACATAAAACCCCTCTCACCACTCTCTTTTTTTTGCTCTAACCCTCTCCCATACTCTCCTCCCTAGTTACCCTTAACCAAAACCTGTCTCCACCACACCTCCCTCTCCCCCCACCCACACTTAACCAACTCCCCTGGGCCACCATTGACCTTCAGTAGCTATTTGCTTACCACACCTCTCCCCCTGAACCAGGAACTCCGAAATTTAAGACTCGTAAACCCGAAGCACTAGACACTGTCCATAAATGCTTCGGATTCATGAGTCTAAATTTCGGGGTTCGTGGTTCAGGAGGAGAGTTGAACGGACTTTTGTTATTGACTGTACTGTAACTACGTAGTATATATTATTTCATTCCATACTTTCACCTTCACAGTCGCCTTATCGTTGTAACTCTTTACTTCACCCTTGTATTATATTGTTATATTAACTTAAAGGATAATTTACCCCCTTTTATACTGATTCTTATTAATCACTCAAATAAAATATTTTAATCTTATTGTTTCAGGCGATTCTTACTAGATTTAGATAATATTTACACCGTATAATAAGGAATCTACATAAATAATATTGTCTAAAAGTTAATGATAATCTTAAATACATTATGTTAACGATTATTCCATGGTACAAATTGAAGACTGTATTCAAATCGCTTGCATTCAGCATATCTAAAAATCGAACTTATATCTTCATGTTTATCATCATTTTAATTTAGACTCAACTGCTGGGGCTGATGTATAACGCCTTATATAAGCTGATTGCCAGATATCCCTTGTCTCAATATTTAATTTTGTTTTAATTTTACTTTAACTATTCATTTCAGATATTTTTATTTTATTTTACTTCTAACTCATATAATTTCTCGGATTAATGGAGCATTTTGTAACTTGATATTTATACTCTAATATATAATGAATTATAACGAGTAACCCAGGCAGTTGAAGTTCTTAGAAACACCAACATTAAATGAAGACAAAGAAGAGGATCTGATGATAGCTAGCATAGAATCATCGTTGAATATCAGATAATTTTACCCAATAATCTATATCACATGTAATCCACAACTCATCCATTTTATGATTCGTGACCACTGACTTAAAAAAAATAATCACAGTATTTGTTTTTAATATTTGGAAATTATCTTTTTACCGTTAGTTTATACTGAGAACCTGATGACATCTTGATAATATCTTTTTGTTACTTTTTTCTAAATTGGTAATAAGAATTTGATGATATTAAATATTGCAGCTCACTTATATGACCTTAAGGATGGATGTTTTTCTTTCATTTTCTTAAAGAACGTTTAAACAGGTGACAGACATTAGAAAAGGGAATGTAAACTTAAAAAAATATATGTTAAATATACACGCTAGTAGCAAGTGCATTCAACAATTCCGTCTTTTGTGATATCTGTTTGACTAAAGCGTTAAAGCTGACATAACCTCAGAGCTGTATATTTTGATTTTGATTTAATAATAACGTAATATGTAATTCTAATGTTACATGACTGTGTTTACATACCTCGAATAATACGCTTAGGAATTGAAATGCATTAATATATTATAACTGTAGGTTGTGGAGTAGCGACATCTTGAACGGCGATGCCTGACCCCGCCGCCCAAGATGTCGTATGATAACAAAAACTTAAGTACATTACTTAGTTATTGAAACACATTAGTACAATATAACATCAACATTTCATATAAGGTTATAATGATACGTATCAATTTGTCATTTTATTTTTTTTTTTTCCTGGTGTGTTAATGGAGTTTAAATCGTCTTCCCACTTTTTATTTATTTAATTTTGTCTCGGTAATTATCTTCCAACTTGTCAGGGCAGAGTCCGTTAATGGATCAAATAAATAACAAAAAAACTGAATTATTATGATAACCTTGAATTAGATGCAGAATAGAGAAAGAGGAAAACAGAAAAGATTGGCTGACAGAAAGAAAGGGAGAGAAATATAACAGAAATTGGCTGACCGAGATAGAGAGAGAAAGAAAGAGAAAGACTGAATAAAAGCGATAGGGGAGAAATATAAGAGAATTTGGTGCGAATGAGAAAGAAAAAAGATAACAGAAAAATTATAACGGAGAAATTAAGAAATTTAGGAGAGAAACTAAGAAGAAATATAAATGTGGTGGACAAGAGAG